AAAATAGCATCTGTAAAATGTGACTGAAAGTATTTTCTTTGAAATATGTGATTATATAGCAGGATAAGTATATGAATCACAGAAGAGACTCATTCAGTTTTGCCATTAAAACAAAGAGTCGTGCTTATTACTCCATCAAGGTCCTTAGGCAGGTGATTAAGCATGTCAGAAGATCTGTGAATCAAGCATTTAGAAACCAGTGAGGAACTGAGACAGATGCTGAACAGGTGTGATGCATAACTCAAGAAGTAGCAAAATATGTGTATTTAAGCTGTACACAGAAGTGGATTTTTTTAATGCAGCTCACAGCTGGAAAAATATAACATTATTTCTTGATTTCTTTTACTTTGAGTGGTATGCATGTTTGTGTGAAAGAGAAGAAGAGCATATCCTTCAAATAAAATTCTCCTTATCCCACCTTTATGTGATTTTTCAATAACATTTTAATAATTACATAATGGATATCTTTATGCTTTAGAGATAGCAGAAAAAGCTGTGTCCCTAATCTATGAGCAATCGTCTTATGCATTCTTGTTCTCAGAAACAAACTTGTGCGTGGTGCTTAGAGAAAGATATGATGTTGGGAGAAATATGGCAGTTCCACTAGAAGGGCAGTGAAATATTCAGTAAGTATTAGACATTCTCCATTTCACTTCTTCCTTCAATACAAGAAGGGGAGCTCTGATCATTTCACTCCCAGTTTGGGAGTCTAATGTTGCATTTCCCTCCAATAAATCCGTTTTGGATTTCAGCAAGCTAACCTAGAATGCGTGACAAAAACCTAGTTGAACAAGGCAGAAGAATTTAATTACTCCCTACTTTGTCTGCCAGATTTTCTAGTGTTACAGTAATTTAGATGTGAAGATAGATTTGTAATGATCTATTTGTTCATCATAAAACCATTCCTCAGGCTAGGTGCTTGATAATAGTGATGGACAGTGCTTTTTTTGTAAGAAAAAAGGTGCTGGAACTCATGAAATTATTTACCTTTCGCATGTAATCAATCACTGTACACACACCCACACATGTCAGTTGTGTAACGAAACATAATTGTCGCCGCCCACAGTAAGCATTCAGCACGTGACCACACGACCAATCACAAGCCGAGCAGCGCCATCACAAGCAGCGCGGATGAAGTGCGCATGCATCGGACTCGACACACAAGCAGCCTGCATGCACCGTTTTAATGATTTTGCCGCCGACCTGCTACACTTGACAGGGCGATTCAAATCCACATGGATCAAACATCAAATTTTCAAAAGTTACTTTTAAAACTTGGAAAATCCATTGAAAAACGGTGCCGGAACTCCATTCTGGTGAGTTCTATGACAAAAAAAAAGCACTGGTGATGGTGATGATATCTTTATCTTTCCTTTTATGATAACCCCTCCCAAAGTTAGAATTAAAAAGTCAGTTAAAAGTCCTCTCCAGCAGTCACCATGCTTTGCGTGGACTCTGCTGGTGGGCTCCAAGACAGGACTGGAATTGTCTCCACCCCACTGCCCAAGGGTCTCTAGCTTATGGAGGTCATATTGGGCTCATCCAGGCTTCTTGGCCTGGGAGATTCCACCATCTATTCTGAGTCCCCTTGAATGGAGCAGCTCAAGAGTGCATGGCTGTCATGATAAGCAGGGATCTGTCTGAATCAGTATAGTTTCCAGTACAGGTAGAAGTACATATAAGAGATGTGTGAGGAATTCATTTTGGGGGTGGGGATCGGTCAGATTCCTTGGGCTTGGCTCCCTGGACTCAGGCCTTTTTTCTTGTGTTCCTGCGTCCAACTTCCTTGTGAGCGCACAGTGTATCCACATGGCACTCACCAGGAACTGAGCCTGAAATGTCTGCTGTGTAGCAGGAGTGTCCTTTTCACACGCATTATTTGTAGCCTTAGTTTGTGCTGCACGTGTTGTAGCTGGTTGCACAACCTTCATTCTGCAAGCATTTGCAGACTTCCTCTCCACTCAGCTCACTTTCTAAGACATCACTGATCACAAAAGGAAGTCTAAGAACTGAAGAGGGATAGATTCCATGGAGCTTTGTTGCAATGCTAGTACATAGTATATTTGCTGAATTAGGAGGATAGTGATCTATGGGTGAAAGGATTTAATAGAACTCCATTGCCGTGGATAGATAAGAATCTTTATGATGTGGTTTTGCTTTCCTGGAGCTTCTAAATCTTCCTCCCCTGTCCCCATAAATCAATGGAGAAACTGTTGGTTTGTTTTGCCTGTGAAGAGTTATTAATCCAGAAGGATTGCTGATAACTCTGTGGGATTTTCCTGTCAGCAGAATTAGTAGTCAGCCTCTGGAATGGTGGTATTATGTTAGTAGTTGACACAATTACTTCCAAATTCCCTCTCCCACTTTCCCAAACTTATGCATGCCCATGGATTTCTTTGGAGTTAGGAGCAATTAAATGGATGGAATGATCAAGAGCAGTGTGAAAGGAAGATTCATGATGTAGTAGAAGTAATTTTAGAAATGACTCTGTGGGACTGATGGCAAAACAGAAAGCCCACACAGCAACCATTGTGTCCACTCAGTGGAAGCTGGTGTAGTGAGTAGATGAGAGCTCCCTGAATCTGGACTGTGTGAAGATGTGTGGGTAGCATCATGGCCTGCTCTAAGCAAATGGAGTATCATTTTGTGAGTAAAACACCTATATTCATATCCATACTGACTTAGACTCTAGGTTAACTGTTGTGTCTGATGATGTACCCGACAAATTTGCTTGTCCTAGTGTGATCAACATCTTTCTATTTCTTCAGTATGATAATGTGGACCTGCGGAGCCTGAGGCCAGCCATGTAAGAAATATGTTCCCCACTCTGGCTTCTTAAAAGAATTAGATGGGGGATTGGCTAAATTGGTAGAGAAGAACATAGTTGAAGTAGGATTCTGTGAGACTATTGCTGGGAAAAAATCCTCCCAAGTTCCCCCTGCTTTGAACAATTATTGTCCAGTTTCCAACTGCCCTTTTTGGGGCAAGGTGTTTTAATAAGTAGTGGGAATCCAACTGCACTTGTATGATATCTAGATTATGCAATTGGGATATCAACTAGACAGTGGATGTGCATCTCCCTTGGTTCTACTGGACTTTGTGGTGGCTTTTCATTGCACTGAGTATGGTATCTCTTTGAATCACTTAGCTTGATTGGAATTTCATGAGGCAGTTTTGTGCTACTTTTGGTCTGACCAGGAGAACTGGTTCCAGAAGAGGTGTTGAGGGACTCCTTTTTGTTTCTTGACTGTGGGATCTCTTGGGGTTCTATCTTGTCCCACATGGTTTGGTGTGGGTTTAGAGTAGGTGAGCTGTGGTTTTAAAGTGCAGTGTTATTAATATGTGGATTTTTTCTTTTTTTTATACTAAATCCTAAGTAAGTAATGGAAACCCTTAATCAGTGTCTGGAAGCTGGGTTGGGCTGGATGTGGCTTACAAACTTAGACTAAATTCAAACTCGGGACTGGTCCAGAAAATCTGTCCAAGGGGGGTTATTATCATTGGATGAGATAGTACTTCCTCTGAAGGAAGCTATGTTCAGTTGATGGGTGTTCCTCTGAAATCTGGCTTTGCTCTTGGTTGCTGCAGTGACAGTTCTGGATTGGAGCACCCTTGCACAGCTTTGGCTGATGTGTCAACTGCCTTCTTAGAAAAGATAGTCTTAGCCTATCTTTGGTCAATAGAATTGCACCCTAATTAAATTATTTCTGTATGTTGTACTGTTTTGAAGAGTGTGTGGAAACATCTACTGCCAGGGTTATATTTGGAGCTGGAACATTTGATGCTTCTCATTTCTTGACTGCTTTGCCTCCCTGTCTGATTCTGAGTCCAATTTACAGTGCTGGTTTTCACCTTTTTTTATATCGTTAAATGACCAGCTTGCCTCTGTACAATACGTTCTACTTGTTGAACAAAACTCTGGGGTAAGTTCTGTTCTGTATTGTGCCACTGTCTGAAGTCAAACTGGTGTGTTTGTGGGACAGTAGAACCTGTGCTTTGGAATTCCTTCATTCAGGAGGTGTGCTTGGCCTCCTCTCCCTCCTCCTTCTGGCAGATAGTGAAGGATATCCTTTGCTGTCGGTCCTTTTATATAACGGAGTTTGTATTCCAGTCCCCTTTTTCTCTGTATCCTCTGGCTTCTTAAGATGGTGCTTATGACATATTACATGATGTATTGAGATTGTTCTGTAAGTGTGTCTTTCTTCTTGCATTTTGTATCTTGTACTTTAATTCCTCAGCATTGCTTTGAGGGTGTTCTTGGACAAAAAACAACCAAAAAATGAACTTTAATACAGTGGACACATGCCATTCACCTGTGGCATCATAAGTCATGGTTTCTGATTGGCTGGACAAGTACTCTGGTTGCAGGTTCCTCCCTCGCCCCTTCTGGCCTCCCAGCATGCACTGGCCTTCGTGCTAAGACCTTGCCTTTTGTTAAGCCAGAATTCTGGCTTTGTGCCAGCCAGCACCTCAGCACCCAAGTCAGAGCATGATGGGAGAAGGTGAGAGGCTGAGTGCATAGCCATGACTTCCCTATGGTTTCATAAGCCACAGTTTATGAAGTATTAGATGCGTGGCAAAGTGGAGCCATTCTGTTGCTTGTGGAAACCAAAGATTCTTGCAAATGAGAATTTGGTTCAAAGCAATCCTTGAATTGGATCTACATCCTTATACAGAAACATATATGCCCAATCATACTAGGATAAGTGTGTGTGTGTGTGGGGGGTGGGGTGTATACTGGATATATCTTATTCCAGTAGAGAGTATCCTTTAGATGCATGAAAACTCATGTGTGCTCTATGCATATCTCTGTCCTCTGATACTGGGTGCAACTTTTATGGGTCAGGTGGTGGGGTAGAGAAAGAGGGTTGAATGCATATGCAATGACATTCATGGGTTTTTGAATCCAAACCTGCATGCTCAATTTAAAGTCAGCCTTGAAAAACAAAACAAACAAGAACTCCACCATCAAATGTTAATAAAGTACTTTCCTCTTCTAGCTTAATCCACACTATCCAGATGGTAGTAACGAGGAAAAGGCTGTGGTAAGTGCAAGTGCATCTTTAAATACTTTCCTGAATAATCATATCTAATTAGAAAGCAAGACTTTGACACTTTAGCTCTAGAAACAAATGGAATGATAGATAGATAGATAGATAGATAGATAGATAGGGAATTATTTTCTACTACAGAGCTAAGAGTTTAGAAATGGTATGTGACTTTTGCCTTTATTTATTCATTTATTTTAAAACTTGGAATTATCAAAGCATAATCCAAAAGCAAATAACTTTCTTCCCAAACCAGAACTGAATCACATTTTGTGACAACCAAGTCCAGAATCCTGGTTTGCTGCTCTCAGAAAAGCCAGGACTTGTAAATCAACATTGACAGAATCAAATGTTGCAGCTTAAGACTCCTTGCAAGGCTAGGTGCCATGGCCTGAACAAACTCCTTGCACAGTAGTAGTATTCATCAGTCTCAAATGTTTCTTCACATATTCAGGACCAGATGAAAGTTGGAAAGAACTCTGGGGCAGTGTTCATTCAGAAGGGGTGATTTTAGATTTTGAAGCTTTGCCCTTCTTGGCAAGTTCTCCTGTGCTCACTCTCTCTGAACTGGAGTTACTTAGGTGCATGGTAGCATTCTAGTGCAGCTCCCATGCAATGCCCTTTCTCCCTAAATTGTGCCCTTACTTTGTAGGACATCCACTAAGAGCAGATTATTTGGGCTTATTTTATTTCCCTTTTGTAATACAGCACTAGTGCAACAGGCAAGAAGATCTCTTTGTATTGTTACAGAGCCTCCTCAGGCCTCATGCTTAGTGCACTAGAGTTAACTGAAGAACTCTGAAGCCTCTTGAAATTCATTGCTTTCATTACCTTCTCTGATATAACAGCTGCATTGAATTGTTGTTGTAAGTAATGCTGTGCTAAAACAGCCATCACCACCCCTGCCACGATGGTGCCTTTCCCCCAGGAAAGTCTGATATTTATGAACATGATACACAGGGCACAATTCAAAACCTCCTGTGCTGTGATGAGAACAACCCCACTCCAGCCTGCCCGCTATACCACAGAGCTATCTAAGCCCTGCAGACTTTAGAGACCAGAGCAGTTGAACTGCCATAGCTGCATTCCTGTTTCTCCCTGGGAGAATTTGTAATATTTGAGCTAATTTTAAGAATGTTCATCTAAGGGAGCAAGCCTCTGTGGATTTACATCTCCTGGGTGGAAAATCCTAAAACTGTTCTTCCATCCAGAGCAGCAACTCCAGCAGTGCTGTATAGCTCTGGAGGCATAGGTTTGGGCAGGGGTCCATCAGTGCATTATCTTCTGGTGCTGTCTGGTGCAACAGGAATGTATTTCAGGTACCACATCTGTCTATTGAGACCTTACATGTGTGGAGATTCATTCTCCAGGCAGCTTTGCTTTATGCATTGTAGGCCAAATGCACACTCTTAGGACTCTTCTACATGGGATGTTTATTGTGCACTCATTATTCCCTACTTTCAGTGGTTAATAGGTTCTTTAGTCAATGATGTGATCCTCCAGTTTCTCCTGTGTGGATAACCAGCACTTTCGGTGCAGTTTTTAAGAGCAGGCATTTAATTTTGAAGCAAAACATAGTGCAATTTCTTTTTGTGTATTCTGCTATACAACAGTGCCACCATGAGGTTATAAAGCAGAAAAGCAAGAGGAGAAACTCCTTGATACTGTTCAGATCTCGATTCTGTGATGCAACTGAAAGTAGATATGGCCAATTAATACCCCTATGTAGAAAAGCACTTAATAAATAATCAGTTTGCATAGTGCTACTGCTGCTACTTCCTCGATCTCCTCCTCCTCCTCCTCCTCCTTGTCTTTTTCTTTGAAAACTTAGTTGCAAATGGCTTGGCAATAAAGCCATAAAAGCAAAAATCAATGCAACTGCATCCTGAGAACTCATTAAAGACAGCATTTGAATATATGTGTTCACACAACCATAAGTGCTGTAGTCAGCTCACTTTGGGTTTTGTTCAGGGGCATAGATGCACATGTGTACACATTCACATATTATTCCTGGACTATTATTAGGACTGCACACCAGTCTACATAGATTCGGAGAAGTGTATTGTGTTCTTACAGAATGTCCCTGTCTCCTCCCCCTCTCTTGACCCATCCTCTTAACGAATTTTGCAATGTGATGTCTGTGCTAAAATTACAATGACTCACAAAAAAATGATGACTCACAAATGAATCAACACTAAAAGGTGTTACAGGAGGCTAACCACTGCACAGAAGCCAAGCTCCAGTAACATCCAGAAGCAAGACTGCCCATTAATTTGCTTCGCTTACTGTTCATACTGCTCTAAAAAAAGAACTGAAAGAGCAAGAAAAAGAGGACTCATCTAACCTATTGACTTCTGAGTTCTGTTTTTGCTGTATGAGATTGCTGGCTTTGTGAGCACTTGCTGAAATAGTTTAAACACTGAGACACCGCATTATGCTTGATTTAACAAATGTTTCTGGAACCACTGGCTGTTAAATTTAATCACAGCTGTAGTGTATACTGAGCTTAATTTATTTGTGTATGCAATGAACATAAGACCTAGTCTATCTATGCTATCACAGGTATTATCATTCCCATTTCTGAGGAATGATTCTGTGATGTCTGATGTTCTTTTGCACCCTGTGATGGATCTAGCTACACATACAGAGAAATGTGGGACTATACTACTTCAGATTTCTTGTGGAGGGTTAATACATTTGAATGTACCTCTGGCCTTTACAAGAAAGAACACATTGAAATGTAGTAAGTGAGGGAAAGCCTCAATCCTTACATGCTATCTTTCTATGTTTAGGTAGTAGTACTTCTTGTTTTTTTTAACTTGGGAATCACTCAAGATGATGATTTCCTTCCCTCCCTGCTAATTTGAAGCAGTACACTCCCTGGAAGTCTGTGCCATTCAGTTTTTCAGCCTGAATCAGTTGGCCAGGATCTGCATTCTTTACATTCTTCTCTAAGGATTTGCTACATTGAGCAGAACTTTTTGTACAAGTTATGCATGCTAAGAATATTGATGGGGACCCTTGATTATGCATATACCAGCAAAATGTGCCATGCTGAACAAATACAAATGGAGCACATGACCTGGCCAATCTCTTTTGCTAAAGAGGATTCCCTTGGTGGTGGTTGTAGTGGGAAACAAGTTCTTCCTTAGTCTCCCTGCCTCCCATCTATTCCTAGCTTTTTTATCTCCGTCTTCTTTTAAATCCAGTGCTGAGTGCCCAGTGGGCTTGGTAAGGCTTGTGTGGAGCAACAGGAGCTTTCCATTGGCCTCTGACCTAGTTACATGATAAAGGCAGCCTGAAGGGAAGAGGTTTCAATTTCCATTGTGGTATCCTATGCAAAGAACACTGTGGGACTTAAGACTATGAGTCCTGCTGGGTCAGACTAAGGTCCAGCTAGTCCAGCATTCTGTTCACAGAGTGGCCAACCAGCTACCCATGGGAAACCCACCAGCAGGATAGAAGTGCAACAGCACCTTCCTGCCCATGTTCCCCAGCAACTGATGTACATACAGCTTCTGATACTGGAGGTAGCATGCAGCCAAAACCTGAAATTGTTGTTGATGTTATTACTGCTACTACGATGACATTACACCTGTATCATGCCATTTTATACCTTTTGGAAGTGAATTCCATAGTTTAACTATGCTTGAAAACAGGATTCTGTGTAAACCAAACAATCCCATTTTCCCCATCAGCAGAGAGACAGTGAACTTCTCACTTCAAAGAAGAAACGACAGGCAGGAGAGAAGATTAGGTATACTTTGGTGTCTGTGCCCCATGGAAATGACATTGCCTCTCTTTTTGAACTGGATGCTACCACTCTTCAGCGAGCAGACTGCCTGGTTCCAAGGTACTGTGGTACACATAATGCCCTACGCACAGATATACACATGCAAATACACATACACGGGTATATTTATACATGTGTGCATAATATATGTGCATGTATATCTGTATAGAAATATATTTGTATATAGAATTGTGCAATCAGGGATTGTACCAGTATTTGTTTATTTAGGGAACGTCTATGCCACCGCATTTGCCGAAGCCTCGGGGCAGCTCACAAACATAAATAAATAACTTAATATAAAACGATATAATTTAACAGTATAAATTAAGTCGCGTAAGTAGAGGGTGCTTATTTTATTCTTCACTCAAACATTCTTCACTGAAACATTCACCCTGGGATGTTGACAGGCAGACAAGAGATGCAAGAAGCAACAGTACAACTGGATAGCAAACAACCATGAAGATAAACAAGCTTTTGTAAGAAAACATCAGTGTAATAACATTAGAGACCAACTGTTAGGTGAGAGATAGGATCCATTAGAAAGTAAAATGTCTGTTTTTGAAAGCCTTTTCTCTGCATTAGTTTTCTTTCTTTCTTTCTTTCTTTCTTTCTTTCTTTCTTTCTTTCTTTCCTTCTTTCCTTCCTTCCTTCCTTCCTTCCTTCCTTCCTTCCTTCTTTCTTTCTTTCTTTCTTTCTTTCTTTCTTTCTTTCTTTCTTTCTTTCGTTCCCAAAAGAGTGTCCAGAATTATTTGTTACCAAGGAGCAAGCCCTTCCATGCTTGATAAAGGCCTTTGAGAAGAGCCCCCTCTTTTAGTGAGAGGAGTGCTGATGTGAAGCTCAGGTATCTAGGTAGCCCAAGAGAGCACCAGTCTGCACAGGCACAAGTTAAGTAGGAGCCTGTGCTCATCCAGCACCAGTGCAGCAATGTACTATCTAAGTTAAACATGTGTAGTATGATTCATTCATGCATTACATTTTAATACTACCCAATAGCCAAAACTCTCTGGGTGGTTCAGAACAATATAAATCATAAAATACAGTATAAAATTTTAAATGGTTAGACTAAAGCATGAAATAAAAGTGAGAACTAGAGTAAATTCTAGCAGCAGTACAAAGATTTTAAGTAGGATACAGAATGTTAAATAGGCTGAAACTAAAATGTCTGGGCAAACTCATGGGAAAAGTGCAATGATATTGGCAGTTCTCCTGTCCCATCGTACCTGAACAACCTTTACCCAGTGCTGGGGATGGTGCTTGTGTGTCTGGCAGGAAGGAGGGAAGGTTGGTTGATTGGTTGTGCCTACCTAGAGGGGCGAGCCACAGTATCATGATGTTAAACACTGGAACAGTGTGAGGGTTTGCGTGTAAAGGCAGTCCATGATGGGTTGCTGCCAAGCACCCACAATGGGCTCAACCAACGATGGAGCTCATTGCAACTGCTTTGCTTCCTCCTGCTGACTCTTTCCCTCTCGTTCCTCCCAGTGGTATCTCAGGTTCACTCTGGGAGGAGTCAAATGCCTCTCTTTCACAGCCATGGTTGCAAACTGGTTTCGACATGTCACAGCTATCAGTGTATTTCCACTGCACAAACAGGGCTCACATGTTTCCTTAGAGAGGGACAAACACTGGAGGAATCCAGTGACCAGACATGAACTGAGTTCTGGAGAGCCTCAGCATAGCCCTAGGCAGCAGCACTCCCTGGCTAACTGCTTGGCAAATAATGCTCTTGCCAAATGTCTCTCTTGCACTGGGACTTGCCCCACAATGTGTTGTGTTGGCCAAGTTTGGATGACATAACAAGCATTAATGGAAGGGAAAAATTGTAGAAGAGACCATTGTGTCTTAGTGTGGATGTCAACTACAGTAAGTTACTATGGTCAGTCCCCATGACTGGGCTTGGTCAACACAACAAGCACCGTAGATTTTTTTTTTATTGTTGTTTGCTAGTTGTCATCAGAACCCAGGCATGGTAGAAAAGGGGGAGATAGGAAACAGAGTGTTAGAAGCTGCTGTGGAAGATTTGCTGGTACAGACATGACAGAAGCAAATTGGTACTGGTCCAACCCATTGCTCAATGCAAGACTCCAGGTTAAAGCATCCCTAATAGATGACTGTTTACCTGCATCTCCAGTTTGGAAGAGCCCAGAACCTCTCTAGGTAATTGGTTCCATTGCTGTATTGCTCTAAGAATCAGGAGGTTCTCGCTGAAGTTCAGCTGGAATCTAGCTTCCTGTAACTTGGATCCATTGCTCCATGTCTTACACTCTGAGATGACTGAGAAGTGACCCTGGCACTCCTCTGTGTGACAACCTTTCACATACTTGAAGAAAGCTGTCATGCCTTCCTTCAGGCTTCTCTTCTCAAGGCTAAACATTTCATTTCTTCCAAGGTCTCCTCATAGGGCTTTGTTTCCAGTTCCCTGGTTATCTTTTTTGACTAAATCTTTACTAGTTTCTCTTCATCTTTCTTAAACTGTGGTTCCTCATACTGGATGAAGGACGCAAGGTGAGGCCCAACCAGTGCTGAGTAGAAGGAAACTGTTACTTTGTGTGGTTTGGAAATGATACTTCTCTTAATGCAGGCCAAAGTAGCACTTGACTTTTTTGCAGTCACATCACATTGTTGACTCAACTGTCCCTGCTTAGATGACTGGCATTTCAGGTCACTGTTATCTAATCTCTTACCAGGTTGAAGAACATTTGCTCATATTAAGTAAAGTCAGATGTATTGCATGTAAAATCAGAATCATTCTATATGCTGGTCATGGTGAATGCAATAAGAAATCCTGTGAAGAAAGATTGGGAAAGAATAGTCCTAAATACAGTGCAAAGCATTTCGTTTCCCATCTTGCAAGTCTAGATGGCATATGCCTTCATCTTCTACAATACATCTAATATGTGAATTTTGTGTTCTGCAAGCAGGGGCTGTATGCACAGTGATCCAGAAAATTCCCTGCATTTTCAGCCCCTAACCACAGTGTATGGAGTACACATCTCCTTAGTGCAGAGGTGTTGAACCTATTTCAGTCCAATGGCTGAATTTAATATTGGAGAAAGTCTTGGGATGAGCCTTTCAGTGGTGGGTGGGGTTAAGGCTAAACAGGGTGGAGCCAAAGGCAAAAAGGGTGAGACCAGAATGCTAGGAACACAAGCATATTATAGCGTAAAGCTCTTAATGCCAGTGTCTAAGCCTCAGTTCGGAGGGGTATTATAAATTTTTACAATGGGAATACCCTATCCAAAAGATGGGAAACCACTAAACCATTGCTGGTCAAGGAAAGGGTGGGGGTGGGGCCAAGGAAGGAGGTGCAGGCTTCTGCGGGAGCTTGGTGAGCTAGGTTGGGGCCTTAGGTCAGCTTCATTTGGCCTGTGGGCCCAAGGTTCTGTACCCCTGCTTTAGTGGATGGTGGAAACGGGGGGCATGCACTGTGGTTTATACTGAATCCAGTCAGAATTGTACCACTTGTGTGCTGATAGAAATGACATATAAGGGTGTGTGTGTGGATAATTTAAATTTAGGAAATATGTACTCTCCAGCCTCTGAACTTTTTAAAAGATCACCTCAGTGGAATTTAGGCATTCTGTGTTGCCTGACTATAGCCTATGTAAATTCTCTTTCAGTGGGTTTGAAAATAATGCTGCACATTCAAATAGTTTGAAGTTCATTTCTTTAGAGCTGATGTTTCCTTTAGGAATTCATATGTTCGACTGAGACACCTCTGCACCAACACATGGGTCACCAGTACCAGTATTCCAATAGACAAAGATGAAGAAAGGCCTGTCATGTTGAAGGTACATACTGAAAGTGATGAATATAGTTGATACAAAAAGAAAAGTTTTCCAGTGCTGAATCTGTGTTCATCCTATCACCTATACTGTAGATCGGAACGTGCCAAACAAAAGAAGACAAGGAAGCGTTTGCTATCGTGTCAGTTCCTCTGTCTGAGGTTAGAGATTTGGATTTTGCTAATGATGCCAACAAAGTTTTAGCATCAACAGTTCAAAAGTTGGAGATTGGATCTGTAACACAAAATGAAAGGAGGTCAGTAATCACCTTCCTTACCTCTTGACCACTTCCTCCTTCCTCTATGAGAGAATGTTGCCTAGCAAGTGCTTGTAAGTTACGTATATTTCTGTAATAGTCACATCATGGAAAGAACTGGCCAGTTCAATACCATTAGTGTTTATGATGGCTTAAAACACTACAGGATACTTTTAGCTTTTTAGTAATGTGACTGCCCCGGGCCATTTAAGCATTGATACATTTGTGTGTGATGAATGTGAGTGCGATAGTGGGATCTATGGGTTTGATTCATCTCTGTGGAATGGCAAAGGTGCTGTGTTTGCAAGCCATGCTAAGCCATTCTTTCCAGTGAATAAGCCGCACTGTGTGGTTAGTCCATGGGTCAACCATGGCACACCCATCAGATCACCAGGATTACTGTGTTTGCAATAACACAATTTCAATAGTGTGTTTGCAATTTGTAATCGCCCATGAACAGAACCCTTGGTTTTTTGTTGGGCTGTGGAATGTGGGTTGTCATTCATGTTTTGTTATCTTAGACAATGAAAAACAACAGGTCATCTTCTGACAGCACTATAAACCATGTTTAAACAAGAATTCATAGTTCAGCAACAATCCACACTGAACCTATAGCCTACTTTTGAACGCAGGATATTGTGTTGTCTGAACCCAGGCACTTTGATCCAGATATAACACAAAACCATGGTTTAGCACTAAATTAATGACTTAAGCCTCTTCACAGGTTCTTCTCTTACCTTAATCTCTTCGTGTGGCTAAAAAGCATTCACATCCATTTTTAGTTAATCATAGCTTTCCTATTGTTTGAATTAGGAACTGTGGTTTAATTACTATCCACAGTTAATTTAAAAACAAGCCAGTTTCAAACCATGGGTTATGAAGCTGGCTTCTAGAAACTAACCATAGCTAGAATTAAATTCAAAGAACACAGGAACCTGGAATAAACCAAAGTTAATTCTTCTGAACATCTTTTCTTGGCTGTGTGGGTAGAAGAGAGGGGAATGAGAGTGCATGAGCTCAGGAGGAGGCTAGACTCATTCACAGTGCTAAATCATCATTTGATGCTATGCCTGGAATGTGCCAGCAGTAATTATGAGTACAAGAGTTGTGTTTAGGTCTTCAGATTTACTCTGATTGTTTTCTAAACAATAATTAATAATACCAAACCAGAAAAATGCTCATTATTGTGATGGATGGGATTTATATAATCGTTATGTTTATATGAAAGCTAAGAAGTTACACTGTTGTTATGTCTTGCATTTCTTCAAACTCAACTTAGGTTTGTAACCAAGTTACTGGAAGATCTAATATTCTTTGTTGCTGATGTGCACAATAATGGCCAGGAAGTTTTGGATGTAGTTGTCATTAAGCCCAATCGTGAGAGGCAAAAATTAATGAGGGAACAAAATATATTGGCACAGGTATGTTAGTGACAATAACATTTTAAGTGGAGCATATTCTCAGAGCATGGATCTAATTAGGCTACTATGGGTCTGTCTTCACCTTTTTTTTGCATGGTATGATTCTAAAGAAAGAAGCACAAAATAAATGTTGTAGAGTACAAGGAAAGGTTGCTGATACAGGTGTACAATTACTTTCTTTTGTATCAGTTTAGGACAAATGTAGATAATTGCATTACTTTGGCCTCATTATATTTTCTTCTTGTAGTGGTGGTTTTTCCTTGTTTTTTGCATAAACCCAAAATATTAATGCATGTTTTGCATGCTAATGACTTTTTGCAGTCACATTTTCCTCTTAAATAGTTACGTGCAACCTCTTTAGATTGTGACCTTTGGAGTTACTTATTCTCTCCCCTACTTATTTTTAATGTTTCAAATGTTACAAAAATACATTGCACTTCTGCTATTTTTTCCACCCTGTCCCAGTTTCTGATATGAGACGAACTTGGTAAACATTTTTATTGAATTTCATAGAATGACTTTTGGGAGTCTGTACTGTACATCTATTTTTGTTATGCCAATGTCTCTTACGAGTCCTGTTCTCTGACTACTGATGTGTTTTACTGGGTTGTCATTGGGTATATGAGCACTCCTAAGAGTTGCTCACAAATATGGGTGATATAAGAGGGTTATCAGTGTTGTTATAAAACTTTTGTAATGTGTACCCATGGAGACCTATGCATATGCTTGAAAGTGGATCCTAACAGAAAACAGCAGATTAATTGAGGGATGTGGAGAAGAGATATGTCCTGGAAGTAGCCTGCTCCTCATACCAAATATCAGTTTTTAATAGGAGGCTACCTGCTGGAGGGAAAGGACATGTATGTTTTCATGTTATTTGCATTGATAATTCTATTCAGGCTCATATATGTAGCGATGGTGACCAGTTTCCCTTCATCTTGGCTCAAGGTGCTGCTCTAATGCATTGCTCTTAGGAAGCACCAGAAAGACCTGCTTTCCTTCACCTCCACTTTGGTTTTGATTTCTTGCATGTTCACAGATTTTTGGGATCTTAAAGGCCCCATTCAAAGACAAGGCAGGTGAAGGAGCCATGCTGAGACTTGAAGATCTGGGGGATCAGAGATACGCACCATACAAATACATGCTGAGGCTTTGTTATAGAATCCTACGGCATTCCCAGCAGGACTACAGGAAAAATCAGGTTTGCCTTTTGCCTTTTCAGGGGGGTACACATAATTAAATATATTGGGTAAGTTGTGAACTCCTCAGAAGCATTGTGCTCCTACTGCAGCAGATCCATTACAGACAAAAAGAAGGAAGACCATTTAACTCAGAGCATTAGGAGTCCTTTGTCTAGAAGTACCCATAGTTTCATGGGATCGGCAGGAATAACGTTTGCAAGGGAAAGATGCCAGAGTAGGCTTTATAGAACCACACTCTTATTTTTGGAGAGAGGTTTTGCATTACTAATCTCATGGCCTTCAGCTAACTTAAAAGACTTTGAATATAGTAATATGATGTGTCCCAGAGCTTAAGGCTGGCATCCATCTCTGTGGCATGACTGGTTACAGCTGAAATGAGCAAGTTCTGGATGAAATTGGTGTGTGTGTGTCAACACTAGAGCATGGTAGTCCCCAAGATAATGCCTGCCATCAAACCCAGAATTAAAACATTACTGGAGCCTTGCTTGATGAATGGCCTTTTTTCCCCCTACTGTGCTGGATGGATGGGTGGATCTCCTGTTGATTGCTTGATATGTTAATTGTGTGTACTGATATTGTTGTTATATGGCTTGTTGCTTTGTTGGTCACTTTACTTGAGGGCTCCAAGGAGCCATGCATAACATGACAGGAATCAATTAAACAAACACAAGAAAATTCAGGAAGTAAGTAGAGAACTTGGGGGCAGATTTACTGCCAGTAACAGAGATACCTCCATTTTTGTTCTTTGTCTGTTGGAGAACTCTGTTCAACTCCTTCTTGACCTGTATTATGTGTTGATTGGCAACCAAATTCAGTGAGCTAAGATATTCCCATCTCAGTGAATCATCTGGCAAAAGCCCATAGTCCATAGTGGCAAGGAAGCTTCTGGTGTTTGCTTGGAACTCTGGGTTTGTAGGTATCTTTGGGTCAGAGTAGGGCAAATTTGACAATGAGATCACGTTTACTTCAGAACTAACAGTAAACAGATCAAACAAGTTTGTTTTAGATAGAGGAGAGGCAAAGTTTATATTGGTCCTGCGTAACTCAAACATCTACTGATTCTAAGTTGCCCTCCAGTCATAATTCAAGGTATATAACGCATTTGGTACAGAGGTGGGCAACTTACAGCCTTCCAGATGTTTTTGCCTACAGCTCCCATCAGACCTAGTCATCATAGTCAATGGTGAGGGATGATGGGTGTTGAAGGACAGAACATTTGGAGAACAACAACCCAACTCTGCCTTAGTAGCTTGACTATTACCTACCATATTTTTCCATGTGTAAGATGCTACTTTTTCTTAAAAACATTTACTTAAAAATGGAGGTGTGTCTTATACATGGGGCCCAAGAGGAGAACCACGGGTGCACTCTGGGGCTGGGGAGACTGGCATGATTGTGCGCACGTGGAAGGTGTGGCGAGGCGGTGCATGGGGGGGGCGGTGAAGCAGCGAACAGGCGGGGGGCGGCCAGGCGGTGCGCGGGGGCGGGGGGGGCTGGTGAGGCGGTGTGTGCGCACGGCTGCAGCTTGCTCACTGGAGATGGGTAGGAAAAGTGGGGGCGTCCTATACATGGGGGCATCTTATATACGGAAAAATACGGTATCACAATGAAGACATTCTCTCTAGTCTATGGTATCATTAAGACCAAATATTCATATCTGTGGCGAGTTCTAGCCATGAGAGCATGTTACCGAGTATCATTCTTGATGGTTGCCCCACACTTGCGGAGCAGCCTTCCCTTTAGGGGTGTGTCAGTGTCTCAATCCATATCCAGAAGGGAGTATAAAGCTTTCCTTGTTGGGCTGCTATTCTGTGAGCACAATTAATCAAGCATGGGTTATGTTTAATTGATTTGGCTTTTGTTTTATTATGCATTCATCTGTAATTTTAAACTGTTGTTGACATCTCCAAGTGCTTGAGAAGGAACAACACATGAAATCAATTAAAATATGGAACTTGAAAGAGATGGAGAACGTTTCCAGGAACCCAAAGAAACAAACAACTATGTTTTATCTGCTTGTCTATCAAGCCAAATGTTGCTGATACCAAATAAAGTATGTGTGTCTGGAACACTCCATTTTTCAAGCTGTTTGACAGACCACCCTTGGATTTTCTTCCAGGAATACATTGCAAAGAACTTCTGTGTCATGCAGTCCCAGATCGGCTATGATATTTTGGCAGAAGATACTATCACAGCTTTGTTGCACAACAACAGGAAGCTGCTGGAGAAACATATCACAGCTAAAGAAATAGAGACATTTGTGAATTTACTCAGGAGGAATAGGGAGCCAAGGTTTGAAGCAGCCCACATAATATTATTTATTCCTTAGGGTGATTGCATAGATCACCCTTTTTTTTGTGAACATGCACCTTGGAACTATTAGAAGCAATTATTGTGTTACATAAAACTGGTTGTGTGTGTGTGCATGCAGTCAATATTTCTGTGGGGCGGAGGGGTTCTATTAATTATTATGTTGCCTCCTTTCTGCAAATACGTGACATGGCCCCTTGTGAATTTCTCTTGCCCTCCCCTCCAGGTTCTTGGACTATCTATCAGATCTGTGTGTTTCTAACACAACTGCAATTCCAGTCACTCAGGAACTTATTTGTAAATACATGCTGAGCCCAGGAAATGCTGACATTCTTATTCAGACCAAGTAAGTTAACTGAGATTTCCTTTTAATTACTTTATGCTGCCTCACCTAAGCAGTGAATTTAGATTGTTCGTAGTTATAGTGTAAACTGTTGGCTTTAAGGTTGGTTTCGATGCAAATGGACAACCCGTTGGACTGCTCCATGCTCTCTGATGATATGGATGAGGAAGAGGTTTGGCTCTACTGGATTGACAGCAACAAGGAACCTCATGGTAAAGCCATCAGGCATCTTGCTCAAGAAGCTAAAGAGGGTACCAAAGCTGATTTAGAAGTCCTTACTTACTACAGGTAAAGTACCTTTTTCTTTCAGGGGGATCATCTCTGGATTCGTCAGCAGTGCTAGGGTTCCTGGACAGAATTTAAGTACCTGGTAGGCCACAATTCAGGCCTTTTATTAGTGCCTATGGAAAATTGATAATTGAGAAGAAGGCAATGAACTCACAGTAATCCCTTGCCCCATTAGATATTGTTCCAATGGGAGGTGAGGAAGACTTGGAAAAATAATATCTGAGTTGACATCAATGAAGTGTGGGGTATCAGAGGTCAATGAGCTGTTTTGCTCCAAGCTCATTGACCTTTGGGCCAGTTGATGGTCTGGGAGTATTTGAAGCTGCGTTATTGGTGAAACAAATGCATTTACTGTGAGACCTGGTCAGTCCTTTGGATTAAAAAGTCCTGGTAGGACCATGTAAGCAAAAGTAAGGTATGAGTATAGTATTTTTAAAAGTCTGTTGATTCCATTGGAGGTCAAATGAATGGCATGGATATACCTAATTCTCTAGCACTGCTGAAGCTACAAAACTACCAATCAGTACCTGGGTAAGAGACTTACAGGGAGCCCCATGTACAATGTTGTGCTAATGGAAGAGTGTGCAGTATAAGAATTATTAAATTGACAAAGGAGGACTTGGTTCAGGAACTGGAACCCTGGATAAATTCCTGAAAGAAAAAATAGTACCTGAACAAGGCCTGAACTTTTTATGCATGATTAGCAAATGTTTGTTCTGAGTTCTTCACAAGTTCAGTTTGTTTTATTGAATTAAATTAAGGGTGTAATTCTATGCATGCTAATACATAGTAAACCTGTGTAGAGGTAAATCTGCATAGGATTGCATTGTAGGTAAGCAGGTTCCTTTGAAGATTTGTAACTTGTATCATTATAATTTTCATTAAAAGTGATAGCTGCAGCTGCCATATAGAAGCAGGTGTAGACCAGGATACAAGAGTGGGCTGCAAATTTGCTTTTCAAGTGGAGAATTTCTCAGGGATTTAGGGGGAGAATCGCTGTATGCACATGGTGTTTTATGGACCTTATTTTATAACGTGATTGATCGCTTTAATGGTTGTACACAGTAAAAGACTGGCGAAGTGGTTGTTGAGATTATGTAACATTCATCAGACATGTAGACTGGTACCTTAGCAACCAGGTTCCCGGGAAGCAAATGCAGAATGGAGATGACGCTGCTGCTTTATTATCCTAAGGTATCAATTGAACCTCTTTGCCAAGATGTGCTTGGACCGCCAGTATTTGGCTATAAACCAGATTTCCACACAGCTCTCAGTGGATCTGATCCTGCGCTGCATGTCAGATGAGAGCCTGCCTTACGACCTACGAGCATCATTTTGCCGCCTCATGTTGCATATGCATGTGGACAGAGATCCTCAGGAGACAGTGGTGCCTGTGAAGTATGCCAGGCTGTGGACTGAAATCCCTACCAAGATCACTATTCATGAGTAAGTTCCCTTCAGGAACAAGAGGATCCTATCATTCAGGGGAGAAAAAATTGAATGCTTTTTCTTATGATATGTAAGTAGTAGTTAAGTAGTTTACTACTACACAATGGAGCAGTGAACATACTCTTGGTTGGCCTTAAGAAATATATTGTTTTTGTGGCAGGCACACTATTTCTTGGAATAGCTCAGAAGGTACAAGAATTACTGTTCACCTAGAGCATCATGTTCCTGGTGGAAAAATGGGACATTAATTAATTAATTAAACTATTTAACAGGGTATACTCTACAATACCTACCAGATGGTTTATAGTAGAAATAAGTAAGTACACTTGCTTGGCAGAATTAAAAATCAGTCAAAGCTACAGATCGCAATAATTTTATGATAATGTCTAGAGTAGTGCTTATGTTGCCACCTCATCTCTAACTCTCTTTGGAATGTTTGACGAATCTATGGCTGATGTCAGCAACCACCCCAATATCAAACATATTTACTTGTTAGTCAGTGAAAATAATTTATTTAAAATGTTCTGACTCCTGGCTTCCAGCCATTCAGCTTTTGCTCATGTTATTGCTTTGTAGGTATGATTCTTTCACCGATTTGTCACGGAATGACATGAAGAGGAAATTTGCTTTGACAATGGAATTTGTGGAAGAGTACTTGAAAGAAGTTGTGAACCAGCCCTTTCCTTTTGGAGACAAAGAGAAAAATAAGCTAACCTTTGAGGTACTTTTCTGCTATCCTGACCTGTACTGAATGTGGTTTTCATATTGAGAAATATCAAAAGTGGGACAGCAGAAAATAAGTTGATTTGACTTGCTGTTCTGTGCATGTTTAGTTAGAAAAAAGTCCTACAACTTACAGCATTCTCCAGCCTGCTATAGTGGCTGGGGAATGCTGGGAGTTGTTGTTTTTTTCTTGTCTAAATATATATAACAATTGCAACCTTAGCTAACTTTCTCTTCCCCTCCTTTGCTTGCCATTCCACATGAAGTTTCCCACTTGAGGATTTGTAAACCTGGTTCATTAGAAGTATCTCAGCAGGATAGTAATACTATCATAACAATATAAGGAGCTATTGCAGGCTGTCCCTTTGCCACAGGACTGAGGGGGCATGAACTATCCAGACTGCATGGGATGAGGACCTCCTTGTGCCAGTGTTCTGGATTTCCAGAGGTGCAGCATATTTTGTGCCCTCTCACATTATCCTAGCCAACAGATAGCCGTAATGCTGCTGCAGTTCCCATGATGCTTGACCAGCATGAGTGACACCATGCTCAAGAAGTGTGTGTGTGGCCAGTATGGCTATCTGGATATGCCAGTGCTGCTTCTATGAATGAAGCTGCTTCTGTGCCAGTGCAAAATTTGATACTGACTCTGGCCTCTTAAAGAACCTAGATGCCTGCAAAAGCATAGGGCAGTGTCTGATGGAAGAAATATGTCTCACTACGTTTTCCAGGGGACAGGGCTTCAGTGTTCCATATAGCTCCTTGCTCCACCCCATGACTACTTGGGGCAGAGTAAATTCTATCAAATAGGAAATTTATGCAAATATACTTGAGTTTCATAATTTATGAGGACTGTAGAACCTTAGCCATCATCATGTGTGAGTTGCATTCCAAGATGCAGAGCACAAAACAGTTGGCCAGACTGCAGAGTGGTTGTGAACCAGTTTTCAGCTGTAAGGAAAAGGCATGTTTATACAGGAAGTGACATGTGTTCATGACCATCCTTCTGGGTTAGGCTTAGGGTTCATCAGCTAAGTACATTTTCTAGTAGGTGCCTTCTATGAAAGCTTCTGTAGCATGATGTTGGATTCCCTTAGTGTATTTGAAAAAGGGAGGGCTCAAAAAGCTTTCTCTAGTGCTATGAATAGTCCCTAGAGATCCTTGCTGCCTTCTCTGTCCTTGCATGGCCTGATTCTGTCATATAGTTTAGTGCAGTGCTAGAGCAAATCCCCAGATGGAGTGTGCATAATTCAGAAAATTGGGGTTAGGAACCATACCCCTTAAAAACCAATGGTGTTTAGACCCTCCAGAGCAGCTTTCCCGTTTTTCCCCCTTCAGATTTTTTTGACTAACTCTCATCATCATGAGCAGTGATCAGGGAATCCTGAGAATTTTAGTCCAAATTATGTGGAAGACACCAGGCTGAAGAAGTCTGTTCCAGAGTGTTGCCTCATTCATATACAGCCATAACTTTTTCCAAATCCTGTGGTACTCCTGGGTACTTACTGGGCTGATGGGACACGGTGGAGAGGGCTTCCAGAACCTCACAGCAGAGTGATACCTGGACACTGGGAATTTTGAGGACTCACATGCCAGGGTATTCCTGAGATGGCGCCATACTTACTTCCTTTCCTTGATACTTTGATATGGAGAGAAAGGCAGGAAGAGTGCTTGGGAAAGCTGGAACAGAGACTGAAGCCCATTGGCTGGCATTCATCAATGATGCTTCAGCCTGTTCTGGGCCCAATCCATAATTTAATTTTGCAGTGTCCAGAAGATGTCTAAGGCCTTACTCAGGATTTAAGACTGAGGTGCATCCATGTGGGTCAAGTACCACTAATTTAGCATCAGGATCTCTTTCTTGCTCTTGACATTTCTGTCTTTTTCCTCCCCTTTAGGTGGTGCACCTGGCTCGCAATCTCATATACTTTGGTTTTTATAGTTTCAGTGAGCTCCTTAGGCTGACCAGAACACTACTGGCTATCCTTGATATTGTACAAGTGCCTATGTCATCCTACCTTGAAAGATTAAGCAAATTTCAGGATGGAGGTAAGAGTGGGGAAAAGCCCAGTAAATGCATTATCATGCAATACATGATTTATTAGCCACCTGTGATTATCAGAATATGGTGCTTTAATGATAATAATTGAGATTTCATATATATATATATTACAAGCCCATGATTTCCACCAATTTCACCAGGATGATAACAGGGATATATTTACTGAGAACTGGACTCAGTAACAAGGTGCTTGGACGAGTATGTCCCACCACTTGCCTATTGGACCCTTGCCCGTCTTGGTTAATAAATAATTCCAAGCACAGGATTGGGACCTGGATCTTGGAAGTGGTAACGATTCTCTGAGGGAGGGTCGGGTGCCTGCCCCTTTAAAGTAGGCGGTAGTCCGACCAGTCCTTAAGAAAGCGTCACTGGATCCAGAGATGGCCACTAACTATAGACCAGTGGCCAACATCCCGTTTCTGGGCAAGGTATTGGAGCGGGTGGTGGCGGGACAACTCCAAGCACTCTTGGATGAAACTGATTATCTGGACCCATTTCAGTCCGGCTTCAGACCTGGGTACAGTACTGAATCTGCCTTGGTTGCCTTGTACGATGACCTGTGCAGGGAGAAGGACAGGGGGAGTGCGTCCCTGTTGGTTCTTCTGGACCTCTCAGCGGCTTTTGATACCATCGACCATGGTATCCTTCTGGATAGGCTAGCGGGATTGGGGGTCAGAGGCACTACGTTGCAGTGGTTCCGCTCCTATCTCAACGGCCGATTCCAGAAGGTGGTGCTGGGGGACTATGGCTCTGCACCATGGCAGCTATGCCATGGAGTACCACAGGGCTCCATTTTGTCCCCTTTGCTGTTTAACATCTATATGAAACCGCTGGGAGAGGTTATCAGGAGGTGTGGGCTACGGAATCATCAGTACGCTGATGATACCCAGCTCTACCTCTCATTTTCCACTAATCCAGGTGAGGCAGTGGCTATGCTGAACCAATGCTTGGCCGAGGTAATGGGCTGGATGAGAGCCAATAAACTGAAGCTCAATCCAGACAAGATGGAGGTCCTGTTGATTGGCGGATCGGGCTTCGGAGAGGGTGGATTTGACCTGGCCCTGAATGGGGTTGCACTCCCTCTTAGGGACAAGGTCCGCAGCTTAGGAGTACTCCTCAACCCGGAGCTTTCATTGGAAGCTCAGGTGACAGCGGTGGCAAGGAGCGCTTTCCTCCAGCTTCGGCTGATTAATCAGCTGCGCCCCTACCTGGAGTACGACTGCCTGGCGACAGTGACACACGTACTGGTGACTTCCCGCCTTGACTTCTGTAACGCGCTTTACGTGGGGCTTCCCTTGAAGACGGTCCGGATACTTCAATTGGTTCAAAATAGAGCTGCCAGGTTGCTGACGGGGACGGAGCATTATGTTCACATGACTCCAGTCCTCCGATAGCTTCACTGGCTTCCCATTGAAGTCCGGGCCCAATTCAAGGTGTTGGTTATGACCTATAAAGCCCTAAACGGCTTGGGACCTGGTTACCTGAAGGAGTGCTTACATCCATATATGCCCGACCGCCCCTTGAGATCTGCGGGAGAGGCCCTTCTCCGGGAACCCTCCGTGAAAGAAATTAGGAGGGTATATACTCGGAGGAGGGCTTTCTCTGCGGTGGCGCCCAATCTATGGAATTTGCTTCCCAGAGAGGTCCGCCTGGCGCCGTCGTTATTTGTTTTTCGGCGCCAGGTGAAGACCTTTTTATTTTAACGTCATTTTAATTGTTAACAATATTTACTTATTTATCTGGCCAGGGCGACTTCTTTTCTTTTCTTTTCTTTTCTTTTCTTTTCTTTTCTTTTCTTTTCTTTTCTTTTCTTTTCTTTTCTTTCATAACTTCTTTTATATTGTTTATATTATTTATTTTATATTATTAATTTTAATTTTATATTGTCATTTTATATTGTATTGTATTTTATTGTGTTGTAAGCCTCCCCGAGGCTTCGGCAAGGGGCGGCACAGAAATGTTCTAATAACAACAACAACAACAACAACAATAATAATAATAATTTCTACTCTGTCACCTTTCTTTAGAGGAATCCAGTAAGTGAATATAGAAGAGTGATCCTTTTATTTCACAAGTTGAAGACATCAGTTACTTCTGACTTTTGCTTCCTGAAAGCCTCTGTAATTTGTTTGAGGAAAACCATATTCTATACCCTAACCTTAGTGTGGTGGTCTGTAGTAAGCACACATCACAAGGTTCTTTATATTTCTTTTCCCCCTTATTTTTACCCAGCTGCCCTCCACAGGCTATCACAGTCATCCTCTTGTACTTCTATACTAGTCTGCACATTTGTTTTACACGTAATGGTAGTCCCACCCTTCCCCTTCCCCTTTCATCTGTTTTAAGTAAACCATATCATTTAGTTTCTACATTCCAATCATGCGAGCTATTCTATCAGGTTTCACTTATGCCAATTATGTTATATTTACCGTCCTGTAATATGAGTGCAAACTCATCTTGTTTATTTTGCCTACTCTGCACCTAAAGCATATAGACATCAGAGCCTTGGATGTTCTCTTCCAGTGATTTTCTTGCTATTTATTGTGGGCTTTGCTTAGCTCCCACAAAACTCCCCCAATTTTAGTATAGCACCAAAGTCCCTGCTTACCCGTGTCCTTACTTTCAGACTCTATTCTGCACAGGATTTAATTTAAAGCCCTCTTGATCATGTTTCTCATGCTGCTGCCAAATACAAACATTATTTGTAAGACATAAAGGAAGAAAGTACAGTTGTGTGCAAAGTTCCCATGGAACTTTAATTTAGCCCATGGCATCTAGACTGCAAAAGTCATGCAGTTTCCCATCTTGAAATCACATGGTATACATCCATGATGTGTGGCTGATAAGCCTTTTCTGCAGCGTTAATAACACATATCCTACTAAGGGTCTTTCTCAAATTCACATTTGTGTCTAAAGGCCAGTTTCTAGCTATGTGTATAAATCAAATTTTTACTAGGTTATGGGTCTTCTGTGCTGGCACTCTACGAGTTATATAGAACCACTGACTTGCTGTAATTGGAAGACGAGAACATTGAAAAAGCATGGCCAAAGGCAGATATAGAGTCAGGAATACCATGGGAGAAACTATGCATACACAAAAATCCAGCTCCTTTTTCCCATGAAGTCTTTATCCTGACCTTGAGTTGTTTTTCCTCTAAGCTAAAAACAAAACTGAAGATTCTGCTACTGCAATGTGGCTTATAAATTGATAACATTACATAAACTCAAGAAAGAAAAGCCCTCATTGTGTCATGTTGTCTGAGATATTTTAAAGTTAGACATGTTCCTTCATGAAGAGAACTTATGTATGAGTTGATCAGCCTTCCCAAACTTGCTGCCTTCTAGATATTTTGGACTTACTGAAGAAAGTGCTGCTTGCTTGGATTAAAAAGCAAATAAGACATTTGTCAAATAATAGCATAGTTGATAACTACTCAGAAGTAGGAAAAGACCATGAGGCACATTAGGAGCAGGTGTGGATGCACATAGGAACTGGAATGTATTAAATTATAGATTAAAATTATTGGCAAGTGTGATCTTAAACTAGAGAGACAGAAGTCCATATTTATATTGGCTTTCTATTTTGCTTTCACTGAGGCAAGAAAGAAGGATAAACACAATCTAAACAAAAATAAGATTTTTTACCTTTCACTCCTCCCAACAGAAGATCAGTTGACAAATGCTTGACAGGCCTAGAAAGAGGCCCTTAAGAAACACAAGGGAGGTATCAGCATGCTCAGTGGATCCCTAAAGCTCTTGTGCGATGCCAGTTCAGTGCTTCTGGGGCAATTTGGAGTGAACAGAAACACTTGTTCTGGAAGAAAGTAGGTTTGCTGATTCTGCTAACCTGCCTTCTTCCAAGAACAAGTGTTTCTCTTAATTTTGGGAATTCTTTTATGAAGCAGCAAGTCTCCTTGCATAAATGATGGGACTCACTTATGGGAACCACTGTTTCTAGAAAGAAACTGGTAGGGCAGAGGGGAATTGGCATAGACCCGAGCCTTTTGTTGAATTCTGCCCACTCTACCCAACAATGCATCCCCACATTTTCCCACATACACGAGGCAGTTTTAAGGTTGCATACTGTGTCATTAAGCTTGGAGTAAATCAGATAAGAATCAGGAACTTACTGATTCTGCTACAAAAATTATAAAGGTAATTTGCTGCTACAAAAATTATAAAGGTAATTTGACATGCCATTGTAATGGACCATGCATGCCAATGCTTGCAGTCATTTTCTGTACAGTATGTGGAATAACTACACTATGTTGACTCCTTATTTGTTGAACCTGGGATTTTGTCATAAACTAGGATCCAAACAAAGCAACACATGATGTATCCATGCACATACTGTTTAGAAAGCTTATTTTGAATTGATACTTTAGTATTGCTATAATGGCATACAGGCAAGTTATACATTTTCTAATAGCTTCTTCTTCCCTTGCAGTACCTTTCTTTGTGTCTCATGTCTTTTAGGATGGTAAATATATAGGCAGAAACTCTTTAATTACTTATAAGCTGCTCTGTGATCCTTTTTGACTGAAGATAATGGATAAGAACACTGGACAAATACATAAATAAACTCAGAAATGATTTCAGAAGTCTTTTTTCTGGGATCCTTTTTCTTTCTTTCTTGTTCTTTGATCATAGAATATACATAGAATCATTTGCATGAGCTTAGCTTATGCCTGTTTTCTGATCTGGCAGGTAGTTTTCTAAGGGCACAATTGTGTGCATCATTAGACAGGAAAAAATCATGCAAGTCCTATCTTTCTCCATCCAGCGGACCTTCAAAATGGGTCTCAGGCTGGGAAGTCTTCTCTGGCTCAGGTTTTACTTTAAGCTGGATAATTCAAGGGGTGTTAATGCTCATTTCTCCTTTTAGGCAAGCATTACCAAACTCCCAAAGCTGGTCCTGACCCCAGTAAACTTCACTAAGGTGTTTACTAAAACTGGAACTGAGGTCAATTACAAGAAAATACTTTGACACACCTTTGCACTTCCCCTAGTATCGGATGCAGGCACTACAAGTTGTGCCAAATGAAATGAGCTTCTTTGCTTCCGTTTTCTTGACAGAAACAGATATTCAGTAAGAAATAAGACATAATGAAAGAAGGCATACAATTGTCCTCCAAAATATGTCAGTTTCTTTTTCTCTTTCCTATTTTAATGCCTGACAGTCCATAGTCAGTTTAAATTACTGTAGTCTATACTGACCTTGCCCTTTCATTTGCACTTTATGTTGGTGAAATGGACTGCAATCATATCTAATTAACCTTTTATTTACCTCCAGCAGTATATTAAGCACTGTACAGAACAGTAGAAAGATGTGATAGGAGGACGTGTATTGACTTGGAATTTGAAACTGTGATTGTAGCCCTCTGCAGATTTACCTGTGTGCACTGAGCACTTCTGTTCAAGCAAACCTGCCTAGTATTGGAGTGCGTGTCTGTATGTCCCCCGGCCCACACATTACTGTATCTCTTTTGGGGAAATGTTGTAATGTAATTTTTAAGGTACAATGAGTTTTGAAAAATAATGACCTTCTTGTGTGTCTTCCTCTCCTACATGCTTCCTCCACTCTGTGCTACATTGCATGAATTTTTAACAAAGACTGTCCTGTTCAAGTTAAAAATGCACACACAAAAAGCTAAAGGTTACCCTGCAATTTGCAGGGGGAGGGGGGAACAGAAGAGCTGTGCTAGAGTATGCATTTCCCTTTAGGTGGCCTTGGATTGCAGTGGCACCCTCCTATCCTGCATATGAGTTCTGCTGGTGGAATTCCATTTGCAAAGACTTAGCAAAAGCAGCTTATGAGTTTGGGTGCACATCCCCCCCCCCCCCCCGGAATTAAATGCTCGTCTGGGCAGCATTTGGGCCCTGCCTGGTCTTTCCTCATTTGATCATTGTATGCCAAACAGCCCTTCTTCCTCCACTTGTGGTTCTTGCTCTGTGAAATATGTCAGGTTCCTTTTGGGAACAGGGGAAAAACCTGTAATTCTCATAACTACAATGTCTTTTCCAGTCCAGCAGCTTTTCTCCACACTTGCTCCATGTTAATTTAAAATATAATTGCTTAGACTTTTGTAATTTGTTACAGCCTTGTCTAAGACTGATATGCTTATTACTTTGGCTCTGACTGACTGATATCAACTATATCTCAGTGAGGAGGGTCATAACCCTTGTCATTTGCAAATACTAAAATTAATTAAGCAGTTTTGTTCCTTTCCTAAAACTCTTTGTGCCTCCATTAATTCAATGCAAGGTATTACAATATTAAATAGAAGGATTTTAACCTTTCTTCATTTGATGTCCCTAACTATTAACTCCAGTGTCACTTTTTATTGTCTTGTTCAGTATTCTTACTGGAAGAATTTGTGAGCTTGCCACCTATTCCTGGCAGAGTTCCTGTTTGATGTGCAGGCATTCAGCAGCTGGAGCTTTTGTGCTCAAGGCACAGTAGTCCTGTCAGAAAAATGGTGGCAAACCTGAAAATATGTTTGTTTACTCTACCATTAATTTTCCTGCATGGAACAGCAATGCCTGGATTGATAAGAGGTCCTATGGGGATAATCTTCTCATGGACCTTTGAAAGTTTTGGGATTTATTTGTGAACGCCTGCACAATTAGTGGAGAATTGAAACAACTGGGAATCAATACATCTCTTGGGATGGCCATAGATCAGTGGAATATGCTTTGCATGTGCAGGTTGTCTGAGGGGCAAAGCATATAGTACTTTTTACTTTAAAGCAAACACAGCGCTCCCAGTCTGAATCAGGATCCGAGCATGGCAGGTAGGGGACTTTAACTTTTTCTATGCTCTGATCCCAATGCAGGTCAGAATGCTCATGCCTGTAAATACGGCTTAAACAATGATCTGTTTGTGTTAAGAGGATCACTATTGGACAATGTAAATTTAAGGTGCTGGGATGACAATGGGGGAATAAGAATTAAAGTCCTCCAGTCTGCTAAGCTAAGGTCATGATCCATATGGGTTCCATGCATTTAGTTTAGAGTAAAACAAAGTGTATCATAAACTTTGGTTCTAAAATTCCATCCCTAGCAACTCCAGTTAAAATAATTTTAAGTAGCATGGTGGGAAAGGGCTTTTGTAAAAGGAAGTGCCTAAGACTTTATAAAGCCCCAGATAGAATAGCGCTGTTGGGTAAAATGTGCATGACTTGTGCATATAGGGCAGCACCATATGTTCATGTTACAGTCCAGGTGGTGAGGCGGAGTTATATACTTGAATGCTTCCCAGGTAAAAGGAAACCCTAGGCTCGAATTCTTCTCGGTGACACAATACTGTAGCTTTCCATGGAAGACAGTGTAGTGCATTTAGCCTAAACTTGCCTGATCCTGCCTAACCTTGGAAGCTAAGCAGGGCTGGACCTCATTGAAATGTGGATGGGTGACTTGAGACCTGATGTCCTGCTTGGCCCCTCCCAAATGTATAATTGTGTCATTTGCTCTTCATTGGTGAAAAACAATCTGTTCTGGTTAGGAACACTAATGAATATGGAAAGTTCAACATTTTTAATAGTTTGCAAACAAAATATTGGTTGGCAATAGGCTGCACAGAAGGTATTCAGGAATTTGCTTTTTTGGGGAAACAGGAAAATATATGCCTCCATGTACTGGATGCATACAAGCCTCCAAATTCAGAGGTTTTCATGTATCTGTAGCAGACGGTATTGAATTATGCCCTTATTCCCTTAAAATGATGCAAGCACACTTGTTTTCCTGTGCAAAATGACAAATTCATGAATAGTAGAGAGGAGGAATAGTAAACGGAAAATATTATTTGCAAAATGAAAATATATATTCAGGTGTTTATATTACAGTAAAACAAAAAAGCACCAAGACAATTGACATATAATGGCAACTTGCAAGTGAAGAATACACAAGGCTTCAAGAAGTATATAAGTGTTCTTCAGCTTGTTATCCAAGTTTTTATCGTCTAAAGAAATGTTATTACTGTTCATTGTTTACTTTGTGTAGAGGTGAGAGCTTTAAGTATGACTTCAAGGGATGTATTGATTTGGTGGTGTTGCCAGCCACCATGGCAACATGACTATGGGTATTGTAGATTATGGATTATTGTGGGTTGACAGACAAACCAGAAATACTTAAATTTAGCTGTTTATTTAAGGTGCTACTTCCAGGTTTTTAGGAAGGGAGGGTGATAAACAATTGTAATTTCTCTTTTACGTGATCACTAACATTTCAATATTATATAACAACACTATTTGTGATAGGAGAAGGGCTTGCCACCTGATATACAATATGTCATAACTGTGGAAGATAAAGATATTTTCTATAATGGCATTACAGGAAATGTCTATATCCTCCACGGTTATGGTTGAATTGCCTCTTATTTCAAGAAATTAGTTCAAGTTTGGAGTGTTCATCAGCAAAATTGCAGTTTATCCTTACTGAAAGCCTTTGAATGCCTAAGTTAAATGATATATAAAAAGTGCTTTTGAGATGCTCCTTCCTTGCATTCAGGTGAAGCTTGTGTGCCAGGATTAGGAGCAGAAGTAACATCTTGACCCACATTTCTTGAACTGGTTTCTAAATACCTCCTATTCTGGAAGTACTGGCAGTTGGATCTTTCTGAATTATCTCAGATATATTGATAATTTGACTCAATAGGTAGAATGGGCAAGAAAATCTGGTTTTTGTTTTGCCCCCCCCCCTTTTTTGGCTAGGTATGCTTGGATTTAGGGCCATTATAATAATCTCAGCACACTATTATATATTAATTTTTATTTAAATGAATAACTTGCTTTTTATAATAAGTTTTATTCAAAATTTATAGTCCTAAAAACAAAGAAAAACTAAAAACAACATCAATCATCAAAAACTTCGGGCCTGCTGGGTCAGCCCCCACATTTTTTTCCCATTTATGATAACTTAGAAGTATATTTAAATCTATGCGAAGTCCCATTTCTCTAGCCAATAATAAAAAGAGTCCCAAGTTTGATAGAAATCAGTATCTTCTTTCTCCTTCAATGACGAAGTCAATCTATCCATTTCTGCACAGTCCAAGATCTTTTTTAGGATCAGTTCATCGGTGGGTGGTTCTTCACTTTTCCAGTGCTGAGCAAATGCAATCCTTGCCGCGCTAATTACATGTGAACTCAAGTACATTTCTTGTTTACTAATACCAGCAGGTATAATGGCTAATAAGAAAACTTCAGGTTTAAAAGCTAAAGATTTTTGTAACATTTCCTGAAGCCAGTTATGTATTTTAATCCAATACTTTTTCGCATCATCGCAAGTCAACCACATTTGATAGAAAGTACCCAATTTATGTTTACATTTCCAGCATCCATTTGACATATTTGGAAACAGCTAATCTATTTGGTGACAGATACCATCTATAAAACATTTTATACAGGTTTTCTTTATACGAAGTTGCTAATGTTACCTTGATATTTCTCTCCCACAGCTTTTGCCATTTTTCTAATTCAATATTATATCCAAAGTTTTGTGCCCACGTTATCATAGTTTCCTTAACCTGTTCATCTTCCATTCTCCTATTGAATAAGAAATTATATAGTCTTTTAATCATTTTCTCATCTGATTTAAGCATCACCTGATCAAATGCTGTTAAATCCTTATAAAAGCCCCACATTTTATAGTCTTTAGCGTATCTTGATTGTATCTGCACCTTATGCCACCAAGAGATATTAGATCCTTGTTCTTGTGTTTCTAGATTCAATTTCAATCCTCCATCCTTATCCAGAATATCATCATATCTTATGAAAATAACTTACTTTATTAGTCATATGATGCCCAACATAGCTACTGCCTCTCAGAGTAACCAGTATTTGTTTTTATATTTCATATATACAGGCAACAATGTTATGAGGACCATTCATGGTGTGGGAGAGATGATGACTCAAATGGTACTCAGTAGAGGTTCTATCTTGCCTATTTCTGCACCTGACATACCCCCAAGTGTCCACCCAAGCAAACAAGCTAGCATTGTAGAGAGTGAGGATGTCACTGTGATGGACACCAAGTTAAAAATCATTGAGATTTTACAGGTAAAACTTTCAGTCTAAAATTGTAATTCAAGCTGTAGCACATATACTGTCTGTTATGGACTTAAACAAGGGGATGGAATCCAATGAAACCCTTAAACTCACAGAATAGATTTCAGCAGCGGTACAGGGCTGGAGGGATGATTCCCCCTTTTCCCTCTGCAGCTGCCAGTGCACTCTCAAAATCTGTTTTGGAATATTGCTTGGCTCTCTGCAACAGATACTGGGGAGACACACAGGACTGCAGTGGGAAGGAGAGAAGGGGAAAGTCCCATCGTATGAACTTCAATCAATCAATTTTTATTATGTGGTCTCAGACAGGAGCCTAAGTCCTCATGCAGTTTTGGATTTTGCTGAAGGAGCATGCACAATGTTCATGATGAGGGGTGACTCCGGTGTTTAAGCTGCAACGAAGGGTTTTGATACCTGCACAAGATCGTTTCAACAGTTGTCAACTTGCACTGAATTTAGAAGTGTCCAGTTTCATGACACCAGTAGAAGAGCTCGTATTAGTAGTTTTCAAAGGTTCCAAAAATAAGAGTGATCTTTAAAAATAGTTTATAAAATGATAGATGCTTTTTGTTAAATATTGTTTAATGCAACAAAGATGGATTTCATAAACAAATGATCATATGTACCTTGAAAACCCTCAAAGAGACTCACAAATGTGATATGTCATCTGTTTGCCTTATAGTTTATTCTTAGTGTTCGACTTGACTACCGAATATCCTACATGCTTTCTATTTACAAGAAAGAATTTGGAGAGAGCAATGAAAATGTTGATAGTTCTGTGACATCTCCACCTGACGTGCCAACGATCACCTCAGGTACAGTTGCTTAGGCAAAATAATTCAAAATCCTTATGATCCATGTTTAAATGAGCGTTCGAATGTTAAGTGGACATGGACTCACCAGGTAGCTTAAACAAAAGGTTCAGAAACTCAAACTTGAGAGTATTAACATCAGGAAAGCTTTCTTTGCTTGTTCAGGCAATATTTACCCACTTTTACATGTGGGGAAGATGTGAATGGTTCTTAGGATTCACAAACCTGTTCTTTGACCCACCTTCCCAGTTGTACCAAGAGGTTAATAGGTATCACATTTAATGGATCATGAAATCTCTGAGTCTTTAATGAAAACTTATTTATTGTATTTGTTTATTTATTGCATTTGTTTGCCACCCCATACCAAAGGGCTGTCTGGGTGACTCACAGAACAGCAAATAATTGAGTCAGCGAGAGTCTCTGCATGAATACAGGCAATGTTTTCTAGATAGGTGGTTATGCTCCATCCATGATGGGGGTGTTGGAAAGGAAGTGCCCAAGAAAGTGTTCCATAAATCTCTGAGACATTCACCTTCCAGGCTGAGCTTGAGTACTTTCTGAGTAGGTATTCAAAGAATAGATTGTAACCAGCCTGTATTATTTCAATAATGTTCAATTTAGCTTTGCATTTGTTACTGACTGCTTATTTTATGTGTCTGCCATAGTTCAATGTCTGGGAGATATCATGACCAAAAGCTAGTGAACAAGTTGTTAACCTTGGGGCACTAAGTTTAATAGTGTTGTTGGCCCCTTTTTCTGTGTAATACCAGTTGCTAATGGTTATTTGTTTCTAGCACAAAATAAGGGAGGGATTGTGGACATTTTTTTCTAGTACTGGCTCTGACACAATCTTTTTTATGTTCTTTTGTAGCGGTTGTTCCTGACATAGATGAAATTGCTGCTCAAGCAGAAACTATGTTTGCTGGCAGGTAAGCTCTGAAATGGTTCCAATCCTGTTCTCAACTGAACTCTTTTTTGGTTATCTTGCTCTGTAGTGCTAACCAATACTTCCTGTTTGATCATTATACTTTCTCCTGCATGCATTAGCAGTTTACCAATGTTCTGCTACTATTTAATGAGGGTCGAACTTTGAATCTGCAGAACACTTTATAACCCTGAAGCATAGTAGCTTCTAGTAAGTCAAAAGTTATTGAGTTGGGCCTATTTGAACAATGTGTGGGTTTGAATATCTCAGAAATGTAGTGCCCTAGATAGTGCCCTAGATAGTGGACTATGGTTAGGCTGGAAACTGCATCAAAAGAATGAATATTCACCACCATGAAGTTTTTCTGATTCATGCATTGGCTTATCTATTCAATTAGCCAGTATCTATTGCTATATTATCTACTTCTGGTGTCTTAATATATATTTTGTTCCTCCTGTCCCTGTAGTAAACAAATATTATCCTTTTTGTGCAAATGAACCTGAACCAGATTTACAAACAGAGATAGGCCCTATTTGTGCAAGCATTTTTCTTTCTTTTATGAAGTGGCACATGACAGTGCATACCTGCTCTCATCCCTCTTGTCTCCTCCTCTTTCTTCCTAGGGCAAATATATAATATTGACTAATATGCTAATTCCTGGATCCTTCCTGAACCTGCTTTGGGAGGTCTCTTACCTTTCAGTGGGTAGCTTGACAAGACAAGCTAATCTACCCTCTGTACAAAGTACAAAGTGTGGGTCCTTTGCAGAATACTTCATGGTGTGCCCAACGGACAAATAGACTCACTGTTTTTCCCCTCCCTTCCCAGCTGGTGTTTTAGCATTCTTGGTGTCTTCTCTCGCCCTCCTCACTCCAACTGCTACCCTCTTAGTTTGCTGCTCTACTGCTCCAGTAGCCTCAATGCAGTGCAGTTATTTCGTTGTGGTTACAAGCTCCTGAAAAATTGTGCAACTGTGTTAGCAATTTTTAAATAATACTATTTTTCATAGCTTAAATGTTTATTTATTATTTATTTATTTAGGAAGCTTCTATGCTGCCCCATTTGCCAAAGCCTCGGGGTGGCTCACAACAATGAATAAATAATCACAATATAAAAACAATATGAGTCGACCTGGCCAAATATGTATAATTGGGGTATTTTTTTCTCATTTTTGACCCTAGAAAATTGTGCAGTTGTGTTCATCATTCATTTCTGGGTTTTTCAGAGGTGCACAAATGCAGAGTTATGTCTGTCTGGTATATATAGTCTAGCCTGTTCCAGATCCATGAAGTTTCAGCTTTCAAAGGAACTACCAATATTTTCAATTGACAGCTGTACAAAAATTAGTCAATTTGCAGTCTCATTTTGTCAGTTTCCATCCAACTAGACTTTTCTGCCTTTGACAGCTGAAACATGCAAGGACATTGCCCATCTCATTCAGCTGTAGGTGCACCATTGTGCATCTCCAAAAGAATGTCTATTTTACAAAATTGCAAAGACCCTGGCACACAATCTGGGGCCTAAAATAATATTTAAAAGGTGGCAAAACAGTGACAGTTGCTCCAAAATGCCTGAGCATCAGGGGAGGGGCTGTCACTCATTCTGGCACAGGTGAGATCAAAAGAGTGACGGGGGGTTGCTCTTCTTCTGGAGCAGCTTGCTAGATTGTCTGGGGCACAGAAGGCTGAAACACAGCCGGTAAGGGTGCATGAAGGAAATGGGTGCACTGAAGTTCCCTATCCCTCTAATAAAGAAAATAATCTCAGTGCAAAATCCAGCAAAAGTTCAAGGAAGCCAGTGTGAGATTCCTTTATGGGTCCAGTCAACTTCCTCAACTCAGAAACGTTTGCTGTTAGGATGCAAGGTCCTTCACAACAATAAAGGATCAGAGGGACCAGTACAGATGTTAAAGCATTCTTGACTGCAAGCCATGCTGGCTAGGACTGAAGGGTGTCCAAACCATCTGGAAGATGCCTGATTAAAAGATGCCTAATGAGATGTACAGGGTCAAAGATAGCAAGAAGCTCAGGTTCTAGATAAAAAGAAAGGAAAGGCACGAGCATCTCTAGAGCAGCAACACTGTCTGACAGGTAGCTCATATTGAGGGATCAAAGCTGAGACAGCAGTTACAAAAGGCTGGATTGAGCCCATATTGTCTACCCAGGTGCATAGGCCCTGCTGACAGTTTCCTTAAGCAGAGTGTTGTGGCACCTCACATATTGGAATCAGATGCGCCTCATATATTTTCCTATTACTACTTTGCACCTGTGGTGAGATGAACGCATGGCCAAGGCTCCAGGATTCCTACCAGCGTGAGAGCAGGGTATGAATCAGCAGGGACATTGTTTAATGCTTTATTATCACCAGAGTTTTTGCTTGCTTTTGTGTTTGTGCAGAAAAGAAAAGAATGCTGTCCAGCTGGATGATGAAGGGGGTAGGACATTTTTGCGAGTCCTCATTCACCTTATTATGCACGACTACCCTCCTTTGCTTTCGGGGGCCCTGCAGCTGTTGTTCAAACACTTCAGCCAACGAGCAGAGGTCTTGCAAGCATTTAAGCAGGTAAAGCCACTAAAGTGCGCCTCAGACTCAGTTTGGTGGTTGTTTGTTTTTCAAAGGCTATTATTTTCCATATCTTTCAGTTGCAAGTATTGTACATCTTAATGCTCATAATGCTGCAAATTCAGACCGAATGTTTCTTCATTGCCTATAGATTAATTAAAAGAAACTGCTCATTTAGGCCTAAGCAGAAGTTACTTTTCAGTACAGAAAAGTACAGGCTTGTACAGGCCCCTCCTCCTGGCCCAGTTACTGCAGTATTCAAACTGGGCTATACCCCACATAGGCAACTTGTGAACTTGCACAAGTTGCAAACAGCGGGGGAGATTTTGTTTCACGTTTGACAGTTGTTGTATAATGACCTTCTACCTGCTATTAAAATAGGGGCTATGCTGATTAGGTGCATAAGGAGTTGCAGTTCCTTGTTAAATGACAGCTGAGTAGCTGAGCAGCTGACATGTTTTTGTGGAGGAAAGAAGGATCTAATTGGGAAACAAACTGAACCAGCTCTAGAGAAAGGTGGGAAATGATTCGATGTGAATGAGAGATACCCAAGGTTGTACGTGCAGGCTCCATTATTCAGTGATGGTTCAGAATGGTTGGCCAGAATGTTCAACTTATTAAAAATCTCATGGTTTTGTTTCTAAAGGGACTTGACCATTATATTTGCAGAAACCCCAAACAAATCTTAAAAAATGTAGGTAAAATATTTGGGGAAACTAAACTTCAGAACATTGAATGAGATCTCCGGTAGTTAAAAGGTGGGACTACTCCACCCTGTACAGACTTTCTTCTCCCCTCACTAATGCAAATACAATCAACTATGCAAAATAGTGAACACTGAAGAATAAATTCTGCACAACAAGTTTGGTAAATATTGGTTTATGCTGGTTGGATCATTCATTTTTTTGTGCAGAATTTGAGTTACCTTGGTAAATGAATTATTTTTAGAGAACTGACATTATGCAGACAACTCAAGGATCAGCATTATTAGGGAGAAGGAGTAGCTGACATTTTATTTGTGAACACTGATCTCTCTTCCTAAACAGTAGCAGTTCTCTGTAGTGAAGGGGTACCTGATGTTATTCAGCGCTGCCATTTTATTCTGCTTTGTCCCAAATTTCTCATAGTTAGGTTAGTGTGGGGCAGCTGTCAATTTCAGTTCCACTTAACATCTTCATTAATAATCTCTGCAAGCAGACAGTCATTTAGACAATTTTGCAGATAATAAGAAACTGGGAAGCTATTAGGAAAACCTTTTGAAGAAATGTGTTTTAGACATCTGATCAGAAAGTGGCAAAATGCAAGTCATGTTAGGAACACCATACATTATGGAGAAAATACCCTGAGGTGTTCAAAAGGAAGTGAGAATGTAGTTCTCCAAAATTAGATGAATAAGGGGCAAAGAGCAATATTCCTGCTTCCCTTATTACCAAAAATAATAAGGGGAAATACCATTTTGTTCTTATTTGATAAGAAGAAATGGTGATTCCCTTTTCTCTTATTTTTGTTGGATTTGGTGGAAATTGTGATTTTTCTGCCTATTCAACAATCTTTGCAGAAATGTGTCCACATCTCTTAATTTTTCAGGGGCATATCAATTATCTTTCATATGCTAGGTATGAGAATGTTTTCACTACCCTAAAATGCTTCCTTTTGCTTGTTTTCGTAATCAGGTGCCTAAAATCCCTTTCCCCTCCCCAAAGATTTTCCTGATAACTTCTAAATTCTGTTTAAAGTTCAAAATGTGCTAGTTTTCCAGTCACTGTTCAGATTTGTGCTATTTCAGTACAGTAAAATGCACATCTACTATTGTCCTTTTTGGATCTGATGATTCATACATAGAGATGAACAGAGAAGAAAATGTCCAGTCTGTGTCAGTTTAAGTCCATGATAGTATTGCATATATTTCTAAGTCTGTTCCATTTATGGTGTTGTTGTTGTTTTTAGATCTACAGAATGATTATATACATTTTAATATACATATTATGGTGAAATAAGCATTTATATATGCTTCATGATAAAATGTGCATTTCATATACTTTATATGGTAAAATATATATTTTTATTCAATTTTGATGTGCTTTTAAAGCCAAAAATGCCCAATAGCATTTGGAAAATAACAGAATTGGAAAGATTAATGTGTTACAATCTGTGCATTACTCCAGGTTTGGTTTGCTTCCAAATGTGGACTTAACAAAACCCTAGAGCATCCTTACACATGTGTGAACCAACCCTCTGATTTCTTTTGCTTTTAGCTATAAACATTCTGCTTTCAGTTACTAATATCTATGAGAGCTGATGAAGGAGAACATTTCATTACTCTTTTAAAGGTTTAATCAAAATAGTTGAATGCAACCGTCATGATGTTTGCTGATTATGTGGTAAAATATCTGTGGAATTCTGGGTATTGGCAGGTCCAGCTGCTGGTATCTAATCAAGATGTGGATAACTACAAACAAATTAAAGCTGACCTTGACCAGTTAAGGCTTACTGTAGAAAAATCTGAACTCTGGGTTGAAAAGAGCAGCAGTTATGAGAGCGGAGAGCTGGGTGAAAGTCAAGCAAAAGGAAGTGATGAGCCCATTGAGGTTTGTCTTTTGGTCTTGATCCTTGTGTGTTGCTTCTGTTCTAAAAGCTAAGGTTGTTTCTGTTGGAATATTTATATAATAGCTTTAAAATGCCATCTTCTCCTTGCATCAGGCAGCAAAAAGTTTTCATCCCTGAGCAAACCAATATGTCAAATGTAAGTGATATATAAAGGAGTTAATTGACTCTTCAGCTGGAAGGTCCAGGGTTCAAATCTCCATTCAGTCATGAAGCTCACTGAGGTAGACCGTTAGCTATAAAATGAAATTCTACAACCCAAATGCACATTGAAGGAAGAACAGAACATTAATATGATACAGAACACATTCCAGACATCATCAATTTGCTGTCATGGTTATTCTTTTTTGAGATGAAGTTGAGACCCAGAAACACAAAAACACACACATATATATGGGAGATGCTGGAGAATGCAGCTTGTTAAATTTGGCAGGGCATTTTTGCCTTTCAATTTTGCCAGTGGATGTGATAACCCATAAAATCAGTGTCTCTGGATTAGAAAACAGTGTAATCTATTGCAGATTTTGGTAATGCTTATATTATGGTTTACTGAACAGAAAGAGTTAGTTTGGATGCAGCACTGATGGAAAAACTAGCAAAAACCTCCTATCAACACCAGTGAAGATGAGGAGTGCAGCATGTATTCTATTTCACTAGAAAAGCCTGACACAGTGCGTGACATGTACTCAATTATATCACTATTGACTTGCTTCTAATCAGTGCTTCTAATGTGCCTTCAGAAATGCTTTTTCTATAGAAACTTCTGATGCTATTTTACTGTATTACAACCAAGCTGTGTGTGGTGATTTCAGTGTACTGAAAAAGCACTGGAATAACATTATGCTCATTTCTGATGAGGTAACCCTCCCGCCTCCAATATAACATTGTTGTCTTTTAACGTACTCAGCTGTGTTAGTGCATTGAGATAAACACAGCATTAGGGAACACCATATTTGTTTATGGAAAGTGGTGTTTCAGCCTGGATGGCTTTAAAAGAACAGTAGACACATTCGTGAAATATAGACAGCTGCTGGTCATAATACCGAAATCCAGGTTCCGTATTCAGAAACAGTTGATGTCAGAGTTACCAATGTAATTTGCATGTGTATTTACTTAGAGGTGCAGGGCCCCATTGGAGATTGGGAACTGAGGTGCTGCCTGGCTGCCCACCCAGGAATCATTGCTGCTTGCCAGCCTGTCCAAAAGCTGATGTTTAAGTTAGTTGCTGGAGCCCAGATGCCTGCAAGTGGATAGCCTCATTCCTAATCAGATGGCCACTTCTGGCAATATTGTTGAGCCATATGTGAGTGGCATTTTCCCCCTTGTGAGATGCACCAATTGCATGGAGAGCTTAGAATGCAGAAGACAAAAATAAGGCAGAGGTGCTGAAGCTCTATGCATTAATTAATTCACAAACTGAGCATGCAATCTGTAGCCTCATGCAGGGAAAATAGGGCTGAACTGGGCTTTTGCAGCACCAGAAAGTTAAGTTCCTCTGGTCTAGTTTGAGGAGAAATCAGCTTTCCCGTCAGGTAGGATGGGTGCTTCCAAGCCAAGACCAGCTCTTTTTCCACCCAGGAACTACACATATATTCTGTAGAGGACCAGGTTGCTGCATGAGAGAGGGCACTCCTCTTTCATTGCAGACAGCTGATCACAGCCCAGTTCCTTCCTCTATGCCAGGTGGTTACTACTGTACAAACAGATATTACAGTTGCTAACTGCAGGGATTTATTCTAAGCTTCTTCTGCCCTGCTCCAATTCCCCGAGCGCTCCATACCATGAAAGTAGAAGAAAGAGAGGAAAAGGAAAATGGAGAAGCCTTGCAAAGAATGAAGTAATAAAAGGAAGGCTTCTGTTTTTGTTTTAGTTTTTTTTTCTTTTAAGGGTAAGTCAAATGGCGGCTTGCCCAAAAAGATAACTGCAAGCAATGGGGAAGCCAGTACCAACAGCCCCCAAATTCTGCTTGGGTAGTTTAGAAGTGGCTGCACTGGTTGGGAGCTCCATGGCAACAATGGAACAGGTACTTTGCTGCTGCTGTCATGGGGCTTCCAATCTGTGGAAAAAATATAAATTTTGTGTGCACATCTTTGTGCATTCCAGGATGATGATGATGACTTAAAAATGGTTGGTGCCATCCCAGCATCTTGGAGGACTTGCTCATGGCTGTGAAAATAAGGCTTATGAAAGGCAACTTGACCGTTACCTTTTTCAATTACTCCTGCTCCCAAATTAAATGGGAAAAAAATTATAGGGAGCCCCCCCCCCCAAAATTGCAGCAGTGAGGATAGAAAGCTCAGTGCACCATTGGTGTCCTGTGGGATATTTGCAGGAGTCCCATGTGGGGAGAAGGGGTGGGGTGGGTTACCATGTTGTGCAAATGTGCCTAATATGCACAATATACTGAGCTTACACTGTGTTGTTGACACTCCGGCATAAACTATTGGTGTGGCATCTATTTCTTAATTCCATACCCAGTATTTGAACTCTCCCTCTCCCTCTCTCCCCCTCCCTCCCCACCTCCCTCCCTCCCTCCCTCATTTTCTCTCTCCCACTTTAAATTATAGGAATCAAGTATGTTAAGTCCGGTCCAAGATGGAAGTAAAAAACCTCAGATTGATAGCAACAAGAGTAACAACTATAATATTGTTATGGAGGTATGTTAATAAAATGATTCTAGCTATTAATTAGCTATTCATTATTATAATATCAGACATTTTCCTTCATGTTTTATATTGCATTTTATCATCAGATTTTGATCCGCTTAAGCAGACTCTGCATCCAGAATAAAAAGTGTCGAAATCAACAGCAGAGATTGCTTAAAAATATGGGAGCACACAGTGTTGTATTGGATCTTCTGCAGATACCCTATGAAAAGGTAATGGATGTTTATGGTGATCACAATAAATGAGGATGCTTAAATGAGAACAGACATTCAAAGTCTGTTCCAGACTTTACGTAACTTAATGAGAATTATGCATTTTATAAGTTCTTCATATTAGTAGATGCAGCTTCCTAGAAAGTTGTTATTAAATCTCAAAGAGGTTTTCAGAGATGTAGGCGTTATGTGTGAACAAGTTATACAAATGTATGAAAGTGGTACACGCCCACTCATGCTAGCATGTGTCTAAGACCCTTGTCCCTGACCTTGCCAGGTTGAGTGGCAAAGTCAGGAGTGAGGTTCTACTTGCATTCACTTGAATATTGTTTCACCTGTTTTTTCTTGTGAATCACTAAAACAAGACAAACTCTAAACAAAAATAAGAATTAGCAGTTGCTGAAATTCACACTCATAGTAAATATCTAAATAACAGCATAAATCCATATGTATCAATTATACATAACTTCAGATAAGGCAGACCAAACATCTGCATGGATGTGCATGGTGTCTGTAAGACAGGTGCTCAGACACTGAAAGCATTGCTAAGTTGGATCTATTGCCTTTTAGCAGGTGAAATTTTATTTATCTTGTTTTGTACTACCAGTCATTTTTTAAAGCATTATTTAGTTGAAAAGGCAAATTTTATATATCAAAAAAGTAAACATCCATTTATATTATTCTACCAAACCGTATCCATCTCAATGCCACATTTATACTTCAATAATTAAATTAAATATCAAATAAAATATCACAAAAATTCATGTTTCTCTGTCATCACATCAATAATTTAAGAAGTAACAAAACACAAATACATATTAATTTATACACTGCTCCAATGCTCAATAAAAGATTTCCATTTCTCCATACATTTGGGATTTTTTGTCTACCATCTTTCATTTGCTAGCCTCCTCAACACTGGTAGGAGAATCAATGTTATTTTGAAAGTTATTTTTTAAAATAATTTTACCTGCTTTTATTTACATTTATCTATTTATAAACCAGAGTTTAATTGTTCAATGCACATGGCCTGTATTGAATAATTATGAACATATATTAGAATGACCAAATGAAAAAGCAAAGTATACAGCATTAATAACAATATGACAAACAGATACTAAGATGCATGAAAGAGTTAAAACAATTAGCAAAAGAAAGCCTTTTTGAGAGGAGAGATTAGAAAAGTCAGAACCCCCAGAACATTGCTCAGAAAATAAAGGTAAACATTGAACACAGAGGTGACAGGAAATCAAATCAACTTGTTAAGTAGATCTGGTTGCAGAAGAATAAGAACAGTCCACATGTATATTGATGGCACAAATAAATGACTCCATTGACTTGAGACTCTGGACTCTCTATATTTAATCTTGAAAGATATGCTAGAAGATAGCTGGGTATTCCCCTCCTCTTGCAGAAACCTTTGCTTTTAAACAGCCTCTCTAAATCAGAAACCTCTTTTGTACATTCAACATATAACATACTTTTCTTATTGACCAAGTCCCAGCAAAGCCTCCCATTCTGTCTGGTTGCATGAAGCAAATATTCTTTAATTGAGGCTCATAAAAACTGAATAACTACAGGCCTCATCTTGGAGGAATGAGAGGAACCAGAATTGCAAGGTGCACGTGCAACATGCTGAAATCCTTGGGAAGCTGCCAGTAACTCATGGAGAAATCTGTCCAGGAACTCAGGCAGAGGACCTTGTGTAGTCAGATCAGTGACTTGCAAATTAGCTCTCCAAAAGAAAGTTAACAGTGGAGAAATACAAGAGGTTAATACATTGTGAGATGCTGCCACTGCTGTTTCCTTTTTTCACCCACTCCTTAAGTATATTAAGTTTGGTAAGAGATGTGAATCAATTGAATAAACAGAATCCTGAAGATTTTTGATAGAATCCTGTAAAAGCCCAAACTTGTTCAGCTGTTAAGACAACTGGTGCGACAGGTTTGTCAGCAGAACCAAAACATTTTTCCTCCATTTTCTGCTTTTGAGATCTTAGCTGGAGGTAGCATCGATGGAGTTAGCAGTGTTCCAAAAATTTTATTGGATTTTCGTGTGTTGTTGTTAGTTGCGAAGCCGTGTCCGACCCATCGTGACCCCATGGACAACATTCCTCCAGGCCTTCCTGTCCTCCACCATCCCCCGGAATCCACTTAAGCTCACACTGACTGCTTCAGTGACTCCACCTGGCCATTTCATCCTCTGCTGTCCCCTTCTCCTTTTGCTGTCAATTGTTCCCAGCATCAGGGTCTTCTCCAGTGAGTCCTTCCTTCTCATTAGGTGGCCAAAGCATTTGAGCTTCATCTTCAGCATCTGGCCTTCTAAAGAGCAGTCAGGGTTGATCTCCTCTAGGACTGACCGGTTTGATCTCCTTGTGGTCCAAGGGACTCTCAGGAGTCTCCTCCAGCACCACAATTCAGCGGCCTCAATTCTTTGGCGCTCAGCCTTCCTTATGGTCCAACTCTCACAGCCATACATTGCAACTGGGAAAACCATAGCTTTGACTATAACTAAGTTTTGTCGGCAGGGTGATATCTCTTGCTTTTTAGTATGCTGTCTAGATTTGACATAGCTTTCCTCCCAAGGAGAAAGTGTCTTTTAATTTCTTGGCTGAATCCCAGTCTGCGGTGATCTTGGAGCCCAGGAAAATAAAATCTGTCACTACCTCCATTTCTTCCCCATCTATTCGCCAGGAAGTGAAAGGGCCGGATGATCTTAGTTTTCTTAATGTTGAGTTTCAAGCCAACTTTTGCATTCTCCTCCTTCACCCGCATCAAGAGGCTCTTTAGTTCCTCTTCACTTTCTGCCATGAGAGTGGTATCATCTGCATATCTGAGGTTGTTGATATTTCTCCCTGCAATCTTAATTCCAACTGGTGATTCATCTAGCCCCGCCTTTCTCATGATGTGCTCTGCATATAAGTTAAATAGGCGGGGCGACAGTATACAGCCTTGCCAAACTCCTTTCTCAGGATCTTCATGTAGCCATGATCAAATGCTTTCTCAAACCACAAAAAAATAGATTTTAAAAAACCCCTAAAATAAGGTTAATACACAATACCAAGATAACAACAGCATCTTAAAGATATTTAAAACCTAAAAAAACTCCCTGAAAAATGGGAGTGGCAAGGACTCAGTCCGATCATGCTGGCACTCCAAAGTGGAGATCTGCATTCTCTTGAACATATGTAAAACTCTAAGTGATCAGGGGCTCTTCCTCCTCAGGGTTCCCAATTGCACATGATAGATAGTTGTACTCAAATTCAAGTAAGAAATACATGAATGTATATATGAATGTATACAGCCTTTTTTTTTGCATAGTAGCATCAGGGTTTGAGTCATTAAGTAAAGGCCTCTGCAGTGAAAGATGTTAAATACAGCAGTTAATTCTTAAGACTTGACATCCAAACATAGCTGGAAATGGAGAGGGAGTGCTTAAGCTAAAATTAAGAAATTTGTAAGATAACTGCATGGGTACACATGCAGGAATAAAATCAAGATTATCCTGTCTGCTTAATTGTTTAGGAATTCCGCATGAGCAGAAGATACTCAATGGACAACTGATATGTTTAGCATTATTATTTTAATGCATTCTAATTAAGACTATTGTCTGATCAAATACATTAATAGAGCTAATTAATTGATTAAATTTACATATAAATAAAATAGTTTTCTTTTTCAAGCATGCATGCAGGCATTGTGTACTCATGTCTTAGTTAGCCCCATCTTACAGGAAGTATTCCTTCTTCAGTGAGGAATAATCAATTCTTAATTGTTTATAAACAATTATAAACCATTCTTCACTTCATCAAACTGCTGGCCTAATGATAATTGATACATTCATGTCAGAATATCTGAAATTATCCCTCATATCTATACAAATTATTCTGAAATCTATAAGAGTTATGGTCTAAGTTTCACAAACTCTCCTGTCCCACCCAAACCAAAAACAGAAGACAGAGTATTCTCAGCACTGACCCTGGCCTTGTAGAATTTTCCCCAACTAAAAATGTAGTGGAAGCAAGAAAAAAAATGTTTTGTGTGCAGATGTATTTTCTTTTAAAATATAGAAAGGTTTCTGCCACGTTTTTTTTTTTAATTATTTAACGTGTTTCGGAGGCTTTCAGCTTGTTTTGTTTTGTTTTGTTTAGTTTCTACCATATATTTTCTAGTTTTTCTTAGTTTCCCATGATTTAATTTAAATATAAGCAGGGTATAATTAAAATGGTTAAGTACTGAAAATGAAATAAATTGAATAGGCAATACTGATGTGTGTTGGAGGAAATTGGAAGCTCTGTTTCTGATTGTGTTCATATCAATGCCTAACAATTAATAAGTCTATTCTTTATTTTGTCTGTTTCTTTGACATTTGGAAAAAAACTCAATTTGCCTAAAGATTGATGAAAAAATGAATGAAATTATGAACTTAGCTCACATGTTTCTTCAGAATTTCTGTCGTGGAAATCCTCAGAATCAAGTTCTCCTTCATAAGCATCTCAACTTATTCCTAACACCTGGTGTGAGTATTTCAAATGAATTTTTACCAGAGATCATCGTTGCCTATGTTACCTAGCATAGCATTCTGCATGCAACATTTCAAATCTGTGCCCTTCCCCTTCCCTAGAATTATTTAACAGAGCATTGCACTGGACCAGTGGGTGTGTTCCCTTCAGCCCAAATGAAAAAGCATGGTCTGCTCTTTTGATCTGCCACTGGACTAGGGGTCTGATCATTTCACCTGTTCAGTGGAGTTTCTCCCAGACCCAGACATAAAGGCCTGGCTCCCATCTGCCACTTACTTATTGCTGGGTATGCTGGCCTTGGCATTTAAGTGAAGAATCCCAACCCTTCTACTTCCAGTTCTGACTCAGATTCTGAGATAGCATCAATTTTGCAAGAAGTGATTGTAGTCTCTACAGTTTCTTTGACTGCTTTGCATAGGGCTATTTTTAGTGATATATGCAAATAAAAACAAATCTTTGTGGAAAAGGCCATACAGAAAGCCATGCTCTACTGTTTGCTTGCTTGCTTTTTTAATCATTACAGTTAGGCAAGCCATATGATTAAATCTTGTTGATCAGTGATATCAGTATTGATTGATCAGCTGATTAACCAATTACATTTGCAAATCAATAAAGAAATACTTGGGTAGGTAGCATAAACATGCTTTGGTTTTAGAACACCTGCCACCAGCTGGTATTGTGCAATGATGGATGCAAACATCACAGCAGGATACCAACTTAAAGGATGTATTCTTTGAAGGAGCCCTCCCATGGGGTTGCAGTAATCTCACTGCTTTCATTTGCTTTGTTCCATTTTCCTCCAGTCCCTGCCCATAGAATTTGCCTTATCATATGTGGCTTTTCAAAGAATACACTGTTTTGGAGTGCAGTGTGTGTGTGTGTGTGTATTTGTATGTATGTATCTGTATTACCCAACAGTTGAAGATCTGGTCAGTTCATGACAATTTGGCTGCTTAGTATATTCAGTGCTTATATTTCTCAGTGGAACTGACATGGAGCTGACTGATGTGGGCTCTTGTGCATTGTAAAAAGAAAAGGTGGCAAACAGCCCTTGGACTGCATAACCATCAATAAAAATGCATTTTATTGATTGAAATGCTTTTGAGGAAGGTTTAAAAACTCACGTAGGTATCTATAGAAGAGAGTTATTCAAGTAAGCTAGTCCCAACCAATTTAGGGCTTTAAAGGTTAAAACCAGTGCTTTAAATTGGGCCAAGCAATGGACAGCACAGTTGAAAAAGGACAGTTGTAGCTCAGTGGCAGACCAGATGCTCTGTATGCAGATCCTCATTTCAGTTCCTATCTCTTCCAAGGAAGGACATAGAAAGACTCCTGTTGGTGACCCTGAAGGAACCACTTTTAGTCAGTAGAGACAAAACGGAGCTCACTGGTCTGTTACTCTAACCCAATATATGGCACCCCACAATGTTCTTATGTTGCCACAGGAGCAGCTAGTCTGAGGAATCAGAAAGGTGTTATGGATCTATTTTATTTATCTTCAACTATCTGCATCTGAAGCATTTTACCTAAGGGCATTTGGCAAGTTTCCCTGGAGCTTTCCCTGACAGTAGTTCACCAGAGCAATTCTCTTGATGTGGTGGAAAGTTGTAATGCCCATGTGTTTTCTAATGATGGTAATAAGAATTTCATGTAAACAACCATTTTTATTAGTCTTATGAATGGATTTTTGTTTTGTTTGTTTTTAAATTAGCTTCTTGAGGCTGAAACCATGCGGCACATATTCACAAACAATTACCATCTGTGCAATGAAATTAGCGAGCGGGTGGTTCAGCACTTTGTGCACTGCATTGAGACTCATGGCCGCCATGTGGAATATCTGCGCTTCCTTCAGACCATTGTAAAGGCAGATGGCAAATACGTCAAGAAATGCCAGGATATGGTAATGACAGAGGTATGTTCAATCAACCTCACTACATATGTCTGACACACACACTTTGCTCTGGAGTTGTCATCATCATTAACATTGATTAGTTATCTAATGTTATCAACTGGTGCTTAACAGTTAAAACACAGGGGTGGGGAAACAAAAACTTACATTTTTGAGGGATGACCCAGGCCTTCCTGCACATGCTATTCTGTGTGGGAGCTTCTTTTATTGCTATGCCCTTCTTTTGCTGGTCCTTTCTCATGCACAGAGGCCTGTGCTCATTCCTTGCTGGATGTCACACAAAAGATCAGGCCCTAAATTTTCAGCAGTGGAGGGAAACACAGAGGGACTGGTGAGAAGGGAGATGGGAAAATTGCAAGCAAGTAGTGATTTATATAAGAGCTGTTTTCCGTGCTAACTGATGCCACTGTGACAAGTAAATCTACATCATAGATTTAGCAATGGAGAACACAGCAGAAAATAACCAGTGCTTTACCACACACAGTTTTGAACTGAACCTAATTTGGTAAGGCCATCTATGTATATGTTGGCACTCAAGGAAACGAACTATGGTGGCATGTGGCATTCTGTGAACTCCAAATATTTGGATTATTTGCTCAGATCTTTGTTTGTTAGAGGGCCAGTTGTTCAGACTATCAGATATGTGTTGGGAATGTATGTGAATAAAATATAACCCGTGGAATCTGCTTGTGCTGTGATTCTTTTGATATTATTATTAATTTGATTTCTGTACTGCCCAGTAGCTGAGGCTTTCTGGGCAGGTACAACAATTAATAAAATGCAGTATAAAATATAAATAAGAGTTTACTTTCACTAAATTTCATTAAAAATGTGAATCTGAATGCTGATGATTTAAACAGCTTCCTACAGTTTGACTTCCTAAAGCAGCTGACAATATCCCCTGCCACTACAGTGCTGTTTCAGGCTATTAAATGCCTCGGTATAGAGGGCAATCTTAGCTTGATGCCAAAAGGAGAGTAATGCTGGCTGCTCTAGGAGAGCCTCAGTGGGGCAATAATTCCATAATTGGTGGACTGCTGCAGAGAAGGCCCATCTGTCTTGTTGCCACCAACCAATTCTGCCTTAGAGATAACAGTTAGAAGACACACTTGATGTTGATTATATGGTCCAGGTAGATTGCAGTTGGGAGTGGCGTTCTGTCAAGTATTGTGGCCCCAAGTGGTGTAGGGCTTTATAATAAGCTATAAAATCCCATTCCTGTTCCAGAATCAGAGTGCCTACATGCCCTAAGGCACCTTAGTGTAACAGATTAATACAGTATATCAATTAATATATTAATATATAACTCCAGATTTTTTTCAGAAAAAAGCTATAAAATCAAAGTCTTTTGACAGCTAAAAAGACTAATATTACCACACTAGAAAGATACACAGCCACCAGCAATGACAGAGTGGGTGGAGAATTTAATGAAACCTTAAGTTTTTGAATGAATGGCAATTTGGCATACAGATGGCTAAATATATAAAAATGTGGGGTGCCTTTGCTGAAGTCTATGCAGAATTATTTCATAATGGTAGTATGCTCTGTTATATGCTAACATAGAGATATATAGGAGATATGTAATTAGTACTATGGATCTTTTTACATTTATTTCAAAAATTGAAATGTTTCCATTTTGTTCCTTTTTATGATGTGGTTTGGTATGACACAACTTTAAAAAAAAAGATTTTCACTTTAAAAATAAGACTATCACTTGCCTATCAGGTTGGGGAAATGGTTATAGCAACCATTAACACAAGACAATAGAACTTGGATATATAGGTTAAAAATGTCAATATAAAAACAATAAAAATATAGGAACAAAAGCAGCAAACAAAAATTAAGATGCAATCAGAATCAACCCAGCAACAGACCACAATGAATCAGACCGCCAGCCCCTATAAATCCATATTATCTCACTACAGGCTGTGATCTTTCCAGGATTTCAGGTGAGAATATTTCCCAGAATTAGCTGGAGGTGCCAGGGACTGAATACGAGATTTTCAGTCTTCTGGCTGCAAAGCATGTGCTCTTCCACTGAGACCCTTCCCCCAAACAGTAGCCTTGCAGGGACAATAAACAGTTCTAAACAGCTTTCACAAAACCCATGTTAATTTGTACAATAAATGCACTACTGTAATGTTGTCACAAAGCTGGTCTTTCAATAGGCAGTCAGACGTCAGCTTCTTATACTGTGCTTATGTGCTCCGCACAATTTTCTACAATAGAGTTTGGTGTATGGACCAAATTTATCCCCCTGAAAGGCACTATCTGGCCTCCTAGCTTTCCAGACTAGAGAGTCATAGAGTAGGGAAAGATGAATCTGTCGATTTTGGTTTTCTTAGTTGCGTACACTTCCAACTTTAAAGTTATTCTGACTCACTTCTGCATCAGTTTCCTTTTATAATAAAGTCCACATGAGATTTGTATGCATTTTTGTGTGCATTTTTTCTAATACTAGTAATTCCTTGAATATAATGCACTTTTGTGTGTTATTTTCATTGATGCATTTTCATTGATATATTTCACATATATTTCACTTATGAGCCCTTTTTCTCAAATCTGTATATTTGTTATACATTGTGTGTGTGTATATATATGTATGTATGTATGTATACATTGTTTTGATGGGAAAACTGCATCACAACTTTTGGGAAAGTGTGAATGCCAAAGAATGACTGTGATTCAGTTCACATATTGATTCAGGAAATGTGAATTAGGTGGATTCTCTTTAAAATGTAAATTGAACCAACTTCTCCCTCCTCCCTATTTTGAAGCAGGTGGCATCTGTAGCAGTAAGTTTAGCTGCTGAATGATTTTGAGGAGAAGGAGGCATGGCCTTGGTCTTCTGTTTCCTGCTTGATTTTTAAAGTGGCCTTCCAGGAGATTTGCTGACCAGAGTTGGACGATGCAAAAGAATTAGATGACACTGAATGTAAAAAAATGTAAAGACTGGAATAAGAAGCATTTCCTCTTATCATTTCAGCTAGTCAATGGGGGTGAAGATGTGCTGGTGTTTTACAATGACAGAGCATCATTTCCGATCCTCCTTCAAATGATGTGCTCTGAGCGAGAGCGAGTAGATGAGAGTGGACCTTTGGTTTACCATATCACTCTGGTAGAATTGCTAGCGGCATGTACAGAAGGGAAGAATGTCTACACTGAGATCAAATGCAATTCCCTTCTTCCACTGGATGACATAGTGAGAGTTGTGACTCACGATGACTGTATACCTGAGGTAAGCCAGACTCTACAGTGCAGCAAGTGGAGCAGAACTGTAAGAATGATTTCAGCTTTGCTGAAAAAAGGGGAGAACAAGATAGCCTGCTGAGTAGCCAAGCCAATAAGATGTTCAGAGGTTCTGATGTGTAAAAATGGTAATCAACAAAGAGCTAAATCAAGGCACTTGATAGAAATACTCATTCTTTTTTACTTCTGTTTTCTACTGTTGTATTAAACATTTCATTTTTATATGGTATTCTGTGCTGTATTTTATATTTTTAAATTGTGAACTCCCCATGATGCTTTGGCTATTGGGTAATATAGAAATTTAATAAACAAACAAGTGAAACATTTAAGTTCCGCTCTTCTCCTAAGCTAACATGATACCAAGGCATGATTTGGGGACAAGGATTGGAAATATTGTAAGAAATAATGTTTAAATTAAGCCCAGAGTGCCATCTTTATGTGTCTTTGTACTCAACAGATAAATGCCCTGACGTGTTAATATTACAATTATTATTATTGCTATATTGTTGCAATAATTATAATTGCTAAACATTTCTTAAATAAATTGGAAGAAAGGAAACTTGAAGAATGCAGGGAAGTAATTGAACTGTTAGACAATCAATGAGTAATATGATTACAAAGGTTAAGGAGATTGCAGAGAAACTCAGTGAATTCTTTACAACACTCTTTCACTGATGGAAGACAGCCATGCCTGAACTGTTGTTTTCCTTGCCTTGCCTTGCCTTGCCTTGCCTTGCCTTGCCTTGCCTTGCCTTGCCTTGCCTTGCCTTTCCGAGGGGTGGGGGTATAGAGGACATCTGAAGTACTTAATGAAATGGAAAGAGTAGTCTTTTTCCTCCTGTAAAGTGTTATATCCCAGTCATCATCGTCATCATCTTCACCATTTTTATACCACCCGTAACCAAAGCTCCCTGGGCAGTTTACAACAAAAATAATAGAATCTTACCCTCAAGTTACCCATCCAGATTCTAACCAGGCCTGACCCTGCTTAGCTTCCAAGATTAAGCACTTCAGGCTTTACATGGAAGCTGTAAATAACAACAACAGGAAGAATAATAACATAAAACAAAAGAGCACATTCCATTGACATGTCCATATCTAAAACACATGATGACCAGTAGACCTTTGACAGTGTCAAGGGTTGCCATTTTTAGGAATTGTTTTGCAAGATACAAGAAAAAGCAGCTCTGATAATGGTGTTTGTTTGCCTGATTTGTTTTATTTTTTTGTATTTGCTATTCAAGGTGAAGATTGCATATGTGAACTTTGTCAATCATTGCTATGTAGACACTGAAGTGGAAATGAAGGAAATTTATACTAGTAATCACATCTGGAAGCTGTTTGAGAACTTCCTGGTTGATATGGCAAGGGTAAGATTTATGCTCTGTTAAATACTGCAGAAACCTATGAAAAGCAGCAGAATGGCATGTGACTTTCCTGTTCAAGCTTATTTTTATTTGTAACTATCTTCTTAAATGCACAAGCCACTGATATTTTACTACAATATTCATAGTTTCCTGAGTTCTGGATATATCAGGTATTTGGGGAATAATGTGACTTTTTACCATATATTGTGAACAGCTCTTTGGCTACTACTTTCCAAAATGTCTTTGTACAGTAAGATGTAACATATAGGTGTGCTTATATGAAGGCCCAGTCCTAGACAGTCATAGCAGGGGAAGGGAGAAGAACACATGCAGCCAGAGGTTTGTTCTGTTGCTGATCATTTAATCGGCCCAGAGTTCCTCCGCTCTCCTGAATAGGCATTTCACTGTCCCCCATTGCCAGTATACCATGTAGGTGTCTAATGCATTCCTCCTGCATCTTTTTTAGTGGCTTCTTTTTTTTTACCCCATTCCCTCAGCTCCTCAGTAAGAGGAGAATGTCAAAGGTCCTCCTCTTTGTCTTCTACTGAGCTCTTCAGGGTTCAGTCTATCCTGATCTTTATGATTTGTTTATTCAGAGTGGGTGTTGTGGAGAAGGTGAGTCATTTTTATGCTGAGACAAGGTCCGTATGATTAAAATACACCAGTTTGCCCTTGCTCTCAGGACTCTAAGAAGGCTTTTAACATCATGCATAAAAGTTTTCCAATAAAAGAAACTTTCCAATCATTTAGAAAGGGAACCTTCAGCTGCTGCCCAGTCATATTTCTTTCTGTCTCTCTCAGTTGCTGCCTGTTCTCGACAAGTCAAGAAGATTTGCGTATCTCTCTCTTTTTTTCTTTTGTGGCAGAATTCTCCTCAGGCTCATTAGTATCTTTTGTGTCTTGACATCCTTATTCTAAGGGTGTTGTATATCAAGCAAATCAGTGAGATTTACTTTAAATATTTTATTCCAAGTAAACGTTTATGTGAAGGATGAAAACTGATGGTGGTTGCTAAGGCCTACTTGCTTAATCTTTAAACATGACGTGCCCTTAGCACCCCCCCCCCCACACACACACAGAATCAATCAGATCCCGGGAGTGAGTCTCTGTATCTGTGGGCACTAATATTCCACAAAGTGAGGCAATATTTATATTCTCAGAGGTTGCATTCTCTACTGTCCAATCAGTGTCCAAGAGCCAAAATTGATATTTTATGGCAGAAATCTACCCCTTCAGGAGCTGTCCAGTTCTATAATAAATTTATTGTCATTTAACAGTAATATTTTCAGTTCTGAAGCGTCCGCAACTCAGGAATAGTTGGGACATTCCACTTGACTACAGGTATTAGTTCATTTGACAAATGTTCCATTTATCCCTGGACAAGGAGCAGGATTATCACTTGGGCATGGATTTAAGAGTAGTTTTAAACATGCATATACAACACAGAAAATCCGCTGTGTGTACAACTGAGCCTCTGATACCAGGATGTTCATGAGTGTCCTCTGATAGAAGGAATTCAGGTCCAAAACACTTAGTTCTGGTAGAATTGCACGGGGCTACTTCAGGACCTTCTCACACTTTAAGAGCAAGAAGTAAAAGTGGAGTCCTGCAAAGGAGAATAACACTTTGTTTTTAAAGGTTGGGCTTGTGGCCTTGAGAAAGCTTGTCCCAGCATGCCCCATGCTGCTCCAGCCAGTGAGCACAAAGGTGCTTAGGAGATGAGTGTCTTTGTGCTCATCGGCAGGAGCAGGTGGGACACGCGGGGGAGAGTTCATCAGCTCAAGTACAGAAGGCTCAGCCTGCCAGTTTCCAGCAGGAAGGCGGAGTTGGGGAGGTCACATATGATGGTTTCTGGGCAGGAGAAACTGGGAACAACCTGGGAACAACCAACCCAGAGGAACAAGTATTGTGCTTGGGCTATGAAAAGGAGCTGGCTGTGATCTTTGGAGAGAAATGCCAACTCTGAGACTTCATATCAGTTGTCTCCCTTGTTTAATGGTTAATTACATATTTTAATTGTGCATATTCAATAAAATAAATACATTGCAAACACTTTAATTTGCAATAAGGAAATGGAATTCACTGTGCAGCCACCAGATTCCAAGTCAAAGTCCTCATGCAGCCCTCAGGTTATGAAAAGTTGCACCGCCCTGCACTGATATGATTCTCTGCATAGTTTAAATTTGTAAAAACATTTTTTAAAAAAGTTACAGCTCAGAGAAAAATACCTTTTAATCACAAGGAATAAGATAGGTGTTGGAATTAGGTGCTGCCCCAATTTCAATTGGGCAGATGAGAATTAACAAACAAACAAACAAACAAAAAACCCTCTGGCATTAGAACTAGGAATCTCTTGGAGGTCCAGGACCTGGCCTAGACAGCATTTATAGACTGTGTTTGCTCACATCTCAGGCCCTTCTTCAGGCACAGAAGGAAGTTTGGGTGGGTAACATTGGCCCCTGACACTTGGCAAACAACAGGAACCCCTGGAGTTGTGCAGTCCTAGAATACAAATAGTAAATAGATATGTCTGCTGTTGACTTGTCCAGACAGCCTTCTTCCTACCTCTAGTTCAAGTCACTGACCTGCGGTGCCCAGAGTTAGAAAACATTCCCTCTTGCTCTAGATTTCCCAGTGCCTCGCCCTTGCCCTGATAAATCTCTAATCTTACAAAGGGTTTGAGTTGTGTTCTTCCATTTAGTGAACTGTACATTTAATGCTTAATGCATGATGAATGAATAAGAATGGTTATTTCTGATCATTCTTCATGCAGTCACCCTGTCTCCTATAGGTTTGCAACACAACCACAGACAGAAAGCATGCAGACGTATCTCTGGAGAAGTATGTCACTGAACCAGTAATGAACATAGTGAGTGGCTTCTTCAATTCCCCATTTTCAGACAACAGTACAAGCCTCCAGGTAAGAATGGAAATGTTGGTGACAAATGTCTGTTTCACATTATTCTGTCATGTTCACAAATGCAACAGGAAGCAACTAAGGCATTCATCCTCAGGAGGGTTTGCTTTCTGAGGAGAAAATAGAAACTGAAACCTCTCAGGTTAGGCTGGCTTGGGTTTGTTCCCTGCCCTTCTGGCTAAAGAAAGCTTCCTACATATTCCAGTTCTTGGGGGAGGCTCCAAAACCACAAGACTGAGCAGGTGGGTTAAGACAAAAAGGAGAGAAGGCAGATTTTCCTGCAAAGTCTGCCAAGCCTATAATCATTTCTCTGCCAGGATATTTCAAGGCAGTTTGGAAACCAAGAATGGACGAACCCAGCTAAGCTAACGGCAGTATGCAAACAAGCCAGAAAGCTTTATTCACAGCCAAGTAAAGCTTTGGATTCACTTCAGGTGCCCACAGAGGATGTGTCAGTGACAGAGCTCACCTCTACCATGGTCATCCTAACATCCTAACAGACAGAGAAGGGGCAAGCACATGGAAGTGGCACCTCACAAGGATTTTGAGGTTGTATTCCATGCCTCAGCAATGAATCCCTTATTTTCCAGATCAATATTCCTTCAGACAGAAGACATGACAGGAATGAATGCTAACTCCCAAACCTTGCAAGGAGGGTCTACAGAAAATCGCCTTCATGGCAGCTCTTTTAGCAGATTCTTCCTTGGTTACCCCACAGTTCAGTGCCAGGAATCTTCAGCACAGGCAAGGAAGAATATTTTACTGTGTCATGAGCTGTGGATCCCATTTCACAGTCCTGACTAGCTAACTCTTCCTTTGAAGTCACCAACTTATTCAGGGGCTTCTTGGATGCTGTCCTGGTGAAGACAAAAAGCAAGAAGAAAAGCACTTTTAGTGACCAGAAAAAGGAAGAAAGCAAAATGAGACAATGGTTTTCCTATTATTCCAGTAAGAAAAGAACTTGCCCTTTAGGGGGATTCAAACTTAGACAGAAATCAGTCTCCTAGGCCAACAAGGAAATACCTAAATCATATTTCTTCTTTTTCTTCTGCCACAAACAACAAGAAAGGGAATTTATAATATTCCTGCTAATGCTAAGGACATCCCCACTCAACATTGGGATTGGGAGTTGTCTTATGCACTTCTGAGAAACATGGCTATCAACCACCTCCAACTTCTGTGTAAGGGAAATGGTTCCCAATGAATATACTCTGGATCACTTTACTTCTCAGGGAAATATTCAAGTACCCTAGTTCTTCTCAATGTCCAGTGGCAGCAATAACACACACACTAGAAGAATAGCTGAGAATTCCTTTATGCATTTCCACCAATATGGTTTCTCCCCAGGGTCATCCTCAAGACCAAGGATATGGCAGGACATAATCTTAATCACTCCTCACTGGCCCAGATGGTTTTGCTTCCCAGACCTAGTCAACCTGTTCATTCAGAACCCGTGGTGTCTACCACATGTAGGGCCCTGGTACTTCAAAGTCCTGTACTTCATACTCATCCATTTGATAGCTTAGATGCTGAATAAACAGAGGCTAGCTGACCTTAGTTATTCATCAAAGTTATTCATAATCTTATCTGTGTCTAGTTGGAGCTCCACCATTAGGGTCTATAATGGTACATTGAAGACTTTCCTGGAGTGGTGCAAGGACAAGGGAATTCTCTTCCCCAGTACTAATTTGGGAGGTATTGAGGTTTCTCGGGATGGGTTTGGACACAGTACTAAAACCATAAAACAACAAACAGCAGTGCTGTGCAGTACGTTGGAGTATGAGGGCTAGATAGCCTTTTCCATCCATCTACATCTGCAAGGAGGTTGGAAAAGTGTTTGCTTTCTTTAACCACTCCACCATGCTTCATTGGCTCCCTATCTGTAATCTTAATTTGGGTTCTGACTGCACTCATTGGATAACCCTTTGAACACATGGACATGTATTTTCTGAAACTGGTCATACATAAAATGGTATCCTTAGTGGCCTTGCTATCAGCCCACCAGAACTCAGAGATGTGACCCTCAGCTGTGCCTGCTGCTTCTGGATCCAGTCTTACTTCCTACAGTAAATTCTTTGTTTCATTGGTCCCAGGAGATTTCCTTGCTGTCCTAGGTCTAGCCACCCCAAGGACAGGAGCTGGCAGATCTTGGATGTGAGGAGGACACTACATTTCTGCCTTGACAGAATATCAGTCCACAAGGGTTCCTCAGCCCTTTTTGTTTTTTGTTTGTTTGTTTGTAAGACACTGAGTGCCACGTGTCTAAATCTTCTATTTCAAACCATCTGAAAGAGGTCATAGGGTTGGCTTATCAGGGTTTAGGGAAACAACCACCCGTTGGCATTACAGCCCACTCTAAGAGGTTGTAATTACTTCAGCAGCTTTTAAAGTGGACCTCCCCATTTGAGACATTTATAAGGCTGCCACATGGGCCTCAGTCTGTATCTTTACAAAAAAATGTAAGGTAGATTCTGCTGCATTGACTGCTGCAGCATTTGGCTGAAAAGCTTTAGAGAAGGTGGTGATGCCTCATAGCACAGTCCCTTAAATCCTGCCCCACTGATGTACTGCTCATTTATGTCCTGGCATGAATGAATGCCATCCATGAGCCATGGAAATTGGTCTCATGGTGAGGTTTTTTCCCAGAGGCTCACGGTGGGCACTACAGTATTGGTATGAGGACCAGTAATTTTTCTATTGAGTATAGGGGCTGATGTGGGTTACCACTTCTGCCACCACTGCAAATATGGTGCACTGCACAGCCCAGGACTCCTAGACTTGATGCCCGTGCCCCTTCTAGTCTTGGTTTGGTTTGTGTTTTCATTGTTTCACCTTCAGTATAGTTTTCATTCCCTCCTCAGAGGGATATGAGGAGTCCTCTGCCTTGCTAGCATACTCTGGAAGGTCTGGGTGGCTCCTTTCACAGATGAAGCACCTGTTTGTTTTACTTACATGCTCCAGAAGGAGGCGCTACCCCAAAGTGAAAGGTTTAGTGTTGCATCAAGAGACAGGGCAAATTTTATTTAACTTAACAATCACTTAGATTATAAAGTTAAGCCTTTTTATATATGTTTGTTTGCAGACACACCAGCCTGTTTTTATTCAATTGCTACAGTCTGCATTTAGAATTTACAACTGTACGTGGCCAAATCCAGCACAGAAATCTTCTGTGGAGTCTTGTATCAAAACTTTAGCTGAAGTCGGTAGGTGATTTTAATTCTTGCTTTCAGTATTTCAGTAATAGCTGATTTTGGGTGGAATGCCAATTATTTCTTATGGTATAGATTCCAGGAGATCAGGAGTGCCAGTGCATTTAGAAGCTTTTGTACAGTCTCCATTAAAATGAATGAGAGTTGCATCCCCACAAGAGAAATCAGAATTGGAGTGTGTCGTAGCTCAATAATCGGTATTCTACTTCAGTTGTGATAGCTGAAGCCTCACCGCCAACAGTCTGAGTGGTTAGAAGTCCATTGACTGGCACATGCTTTTATCCTAGAAGTGCTGCAAGAAATTGAGCAGAGGAATATTTCTCTGGTGACTGCTGCACCAGTGCTCTGGCAGACAAGCACAGCACATGCTCTGGAAACACTGCCCCAGCTGATCCAGAGTTCCACAGACACCCCTTCCCGATGTCCCCTCCCCCTCCCCCTCTCTGGGTGGAAAACAGAAAGAAACTTCATTTGATTCTGGAACTCATTATGATGCTATGATCTGAATGAGCTTGAAATGCAAAACTTCAGTGTCCATTTTTAAGTCATGTTGGCAAACAGTTTGGTTGTTGAACATAGTAGGAATTTACAAACCATTATGAAGCATGTAACAGTGAGGAAGAAGAGCTGAAGTAATATATCAAAATTTGAAGGCCATCTAAAGAGATAAAAACACACACACACATACCCTCGCCCCCAGTGATAATTAAGTTCAAGGCATGACATTACATAGCTGCATCACTGCCTGGAATTGAACTGTTCTGAGTTGGACAATATCCTAGATGAGTTGATTTCGCATACCCCCAGGGGTATGAACCAAGACATTTAGATGTATGTGAAAAAAAATTGCATAATGGCAGGAAAAGGCACATATGTCAACAGTGTAAGACAAGATACAAGTGAAAAATTGTGGAATGAATCGAATGTTGTAACAAGTGCTGGAGTGGGTTTTCTTCATTTGACCTCGAGAAAAGCCTTGTTTTCTTGCTTTGTTATTTTGGCAAATGGTGGAGAGTCCATCCCTAAACAATGTGTTGTGAACACACAACTACAGCGCAAATGCTTGGCGGCACACCCCTTACAGGCCTCACTCCCCTCAGCTTTGCGAACATTCCGGCGCTGCTGCACTGGTACCAGTGTATATTAGTTAGAAATGTTTTGCTAATATGAAGGGTACAGTTTAGGGAAATGGGCTGCCAAGGGTTACGCAAAAAAGATTGGGAATCACTGTCCTAGGCTAACTGTAAGATGGACACAAGGACCCCTTCCACACCCCAAACCGCCTTGATCTCTTTGGCCCACCTTTCACATTCATGAGAGTTACTGTATTCATCAGGGAAGAGGAAGGCAATTGTCACAGAGTGCCTAAGTATCAGCAGTGTTTGTGATGTGTTTGTGTATGTATCAGAAGCAACAGCTCTCACCTTCCCCTTTCCTCTGTCTGTAAGAATCGCATGTCCCTTCCTCACATGACTTCTTGCAACTCATCCCATGTCTTTTTATCTGTAAATAAAACACACTTCAATGGGACTTGCTCCCAAGTAAGTGTGTCTGCAGATATTGTCTTGGGACCTATTTCCAAATAAATGTACATAGGACCAAGTTGTACTGGGGCTGTGGAGGACTGACCCACAATTCTTGGCCTCCTCCTTTTCTCCCTTCTCCCTCTTTGTCCCTTGTTCACTCCCAAAGGTTCTGTTTCATTTCTTCACAGATAAGGTTTTCTCTTATTTTGGCTGCAGTGTTCCAAAACATAGAAAGTTTCGGAAATGGGAGACCTCTGGACCAGGCAGCCCAAATAGATGTGTAGCACTTAGTTCTCACATGGGCTGGTTTTCCTATATGGACGTAATTTACCAGGCCATATCTTTGGCTACAGAATCTAAGTTACTCATGTAAATTGTTAACATTGCCTAGGCATTGCAATTCAAATTCAGTTCGTTGAAAGTGTGAATATTTAGGTCAGAGGTACAATGATTTGAGAGCTAACATCTCCTTTAGTTTAACAAATGAGCATAAACTGTAATGAATCATGCCATAAACATCTCTTAAAATCCTTCTGCAGTTATAAAATAAACAGTGCTGGGAATAAAAATGAAGTTGAACGAAACTACCATCTGACTGGTATCTTGTTCCTGACTGCTTGTTACCACCTAGATTCTAAATATTTGGACTAATGTATCTGCATTTGTTACCAGGCTAAATGCCTCTGCTAAGCTGATGTACTGTCATGATTTGTGACACATATGGAGCATGTGTTCTATGTTAAGTACTGAATGGTTGGTTCCATAATACTATGATGCAGTGTTGACTGTAGAAGAAAGATAGAAATTGAGAGGTGTGACCTCTTGGATATGCTGGGCAACACAGAAATGTAATATAAAGTAAATAAATATCTATTTCCTCACTGTTGAGAGAAGGGTCTGTGATTAGAATGCAGATTACTCAGAATATTGTTTCTTGATATGCACAAAGGTTATACATACAGCACATATCAGGGTAGCAAACTTTCCCTGATAAGTGCTCCAGTGTGATACATGTGTTTGCAAATATGTCGATCCCATTCATATCTTGTTCAGTCACACATATACATCTTTTTTTCAGTATATACCTAAAAGAAATAATGTGTGATATGGCCCATGGATGCATCATCCTTTGTATGCTTTGAGATTCTTATGTGCAGGTGTGGCTCTTATATTTATTTCATAGACCACTTGCTTCAAAGCTGTGGTGACTGATTCACTGTAGCTTCATGATGGTATTCAAATTATAAGCTGCTAGTTTTTATAGCTGAAGGCACCTACTTAATGGCCCTGCATTCAGAAGAGCCTAACATCCAGGTGCTTCCATTGTGATGCTTTGTTTGGTAACTGACTGAGAGAGCTGTTCTCTATTGAAAACTTGGTCCCTAATTATTATAATTTTCTGAGCATCTTCCCATGCATTCTGCATCATCAGCAAATGAAGTTGTGCATTTGCTAAAATAAGAGACAAGAAATTTCTCTCAGTCAGTGCGAGTTCATGTCTGACAACTCTTTCTCTTGTTTTATAGCTGGGGGCCAGTTCTGGACTTTGGCTTTTTCTGAACACCCCTATCACATTTCTTTTCTTCCTTAATCTGTGTGGCTTTGATGTTCAACATACATGTTTCACAACATGGTTCATTTATTTACTTAAAAAGTTAAATTGATAGCTCTGAAACAAACTGAAAAGGGAAATGAATTTCATTGAAGCCACTTGGGATTATTTATTCTCTGTATTTTTAATAGAAAAATCTTCCAAGCCTTGGTTTAAAAGTTTTCTGCAAACTGTCAATTTTTTTTTTTTCGCTTGTATGTATTTAAAAGAACACGCTAAAAATGAAGTTTTGTGCCCAGTTACTATAAAAGTTTCAGGTACTAACTTTGAGGTGTTGGAGCCAATGACTGGAATATATCTGCAAAGCACTGAAAAAATGAGTGAAAGTATCATAGAAAAGATGCAGAATAGTCAGTGGAAAATGTGTGAATGTTTGTCACATGCTAGGAATAGATTTGGTTTCATATTTTACAAAAACCATTTTAAGAGGCACAAGGCTTAGTCTTTCAACTGCATAGTGTACACATTTCTCCTTCTTTAGCCTACTAACAGAAATAGTACAGGCATCAGAAAAATGTATTGTTGGGGTATGATTCGTAAGGCAAAACTTTTTCCATTCTCCTCCTCTTTTATCAGCTGCAATATTCTAAGTACTTGTTACATTGTGTGTGCATCATTTTTAGTCCATAGTAAAGGGCTTCTGGGTATTTCAGAATAATTTCTCTAAGAATAATGACAACTGCACATTCCTTCATAGGAAACTCATAACATTTTCCTTACTTAGCAAATTTAAAGAAAATAGGAATTCAGAAAGCTAATGAAAACAAAATTAACATGTCCAGGGTAGTGAAATGCTGCCAAGAAGAATAAATTAATTCATTTTCTTTCCATGTTTCTATATCTGAGAACAAGATCTATTACACACATACTATACAGATGTTGCACCTTTTCCATGATGCTGCCACAAATTATTTCCTTAGGTTCTGAATCTGTTCCAGTCATTTTGAATCCATTACAGGCCAGATTGGACAAAAGGTTTGCCTTAAACTCTCACATTTACTTGGATTGCAGTTAGAGCTGTTGCCCTAAGCACATCCTACCAAAAAACTGCAGGAAATTTTGTGGATAACTTTATAGTCAGAGACTGAAGGGTTATTGCCAACCCAGAAGTGCAGAGATTACATAGTCCCTGGAGTTGCCATGAAATAACACAAAATTAGGCCTTGTCTGTTAGGGCTAGGCTGTGGGCAGCAGTCTTGGGTGAGCCTGGAGCCAGGAAAACAACTATTAGTCAGGACCAAAGAACACACCAAGAGGCAAACCCAAGGAGCAAGCAAGATATCAGGACCAAAATAGATGCAACAGGAGCATGCCAGGATGCAAGGGGCAAGCCAGCAGTAAGGACTAAAGACTAATCAAGGATGCAGGAACACACACCAGAGCTCAGGAGGATCCTGAAACTCTGTATGCTTTGTCCTGCACATTGACATGGGGCGGTGACCAGCCTGGGTAGCTGGAGTCAGTCTAGGGCCTGAAGATACTTCAGGTATGTAGCAGTTACCTGCTCTTCAGTGTTTCACCCCGTGGAACAGCCATTAATTGATCCAATCATTCCAGACATCACCTCACAGCCTAAAAGACATTCTGGATGGATTTTACAACAGGGACCAACAGTCCTTTCATAGAAAATTTGACCAGATGTGTCTATGTGGCAGCCCTGGGTTAATAAATGATTGCTTAGCGACAGAAAGTTCATGCTCAGATATCCCAGGATATCAAAGTTCCATGAAATACCACATGGTTAAAAAAAAAAAAGCCAGCTGTGGGATTTTGAAAATGGTGCCATATGATCATGTTGCATCTCAATGTATTGCAGAAATTGAGGTGGGAAGAAACTGCAGTCTCTCCACTGAGGA